AACATTTTGTAACAATGGGTGGAACAGGAATATATATTCAGGTACAAATGGAAAGTTATCACAATCATGCAGCATTATTGCCTAGATTTTACTGCAATTATTTCCATGTGTTTGACGCTATCCTAGTTCAAACCACACATTGTCACTTCAATAAGCAATGTCATCGCGAGCTTTATTGATGACCCATGTCTCATAAAGAAGAAGGACAATTTAACGTATCTTCGTTTAACATATCAATGACGTTAAACCCTAAAATTAATATATTGTCATACTCTGCAAACAAAGGAAATACCCTGTGTTACAGGCATGAATAACCGTGTTACAAACTGACTACAAAAACTAACATTTCGATGAAGCCTTCTGTAAGCTCGTAGTGACAATTTATCAATTTCACTTCCAGCTGAATAATTTTATATTGCAAGATCACATCTTCTTCATTCGGTTATTTTGTTTTTCAGTCCTTTCTACAAGCGGTTTTATACACATGAAAGAGTGGCAAAGTGATGATGTCATGAAATCTATTTCAGAATTTTATATTTTGAACCCGAGCTGAAAGAGCAAAGTGAAATACCTCTTAATTTGCAAAACCAGTTAAATGTGATGTCTTCTGAGGTATGGTCAATAAAGGATTTGAGCTAACTAACGGATTCTTTATTTGGTACAAAAGTTTTAGAACCAGGGCCTAATTACAGTGTGCCGTTTAAAATGGATTGTTGCGAATTTTCTCTTTTGGGAAAGTTTTACTGGATCAAAGAGATTAACATTGTGAGATAATTTTTGGTTTATGTAACTTTGAGCTAGGACTTTGGATGACTTTCAAATCACATCTATTGTCGATGTTAGATCTCCATGCGTGTGCCAATCAATTTTTACGTAACGATGTTAATCCCATCAAATGATGGTTCGAGCTCCCTTTGTCCCTTTGCTTTTTCAAAAAGTGAGAAGTCTCGCATCTGAATTGAGGCCAAAAGCCATTTTGTTCTACAGTAGTTGACCTTTCGGAACAATGACCGGGAAATAATTGCAAAATCGTTGGCCATATAAGAACTCCACAGGCTCAAGGTAATTGCGCAACCAACAGCCTGTCATGGCGGCATAGCAGTGGCTGCAATCAAATCCAAGGGCGATAAATTTTGCACATTCTTGAACAAAAGAGGCACGATAGCGTTCTTATTCCCATTTTTCTCAAGGCGTGAACCTTCTCTGGTTTTTCTTTACTTTTGGATAGAAGATTCTTTGCTATCATTTTTTTCAAATACCCGCACATATTAGACCATTCTAGAGTTGGCAATCTTTATAGATAAGAAGTTAACAGTGCAGTGAAACTTATAAAAATTTCTATTGAAAACAGAAATATTTTATGCAAATATAGTGTTGATATTTTTGACAATGAGTTAAATAAAAATATCTCAAGTTTCTATGTGAGAAATCACACTACAAGATAATAACGGTGAATAGGTCAGAAAACCTATTTTTAGACATGTTCTAACAAATTCTAAAGGCAGGTTGTTTAAGGGTTCTGCACGAAAATGTATCAATGGCAATCCTTACTATGTATGCAGTGCCAAAATGGCATGTTATTGTGGAGTCATAGGTCAGTAGTAAGGTCAAAGGTTACTAACAAGGTCACGAGGTCATAAGCAAAATGAATTGATAAATCAATGCAAATTCAATAGACGACTGTAGAAATTAGATCAAGAAGAAATTAAAACTTTAAAGCATACAACCTATGAATATTTATCTTGGCACATAAACGACATTTTTACACAAAGATTATCTTTTCTCTTTGCAGTCTCTAGCTACAGTAATCAATTTGATCTGAAAGCTAATCAATTTACTTAGCAAAGGGGTTCGCTTGCGTAGCAATATTTACTTGCCGTGCTAAGCCAAAAATATGAGCCTTAGGAGACTCTTATTATGCTCTTGTAAGTGAGTTGTGACGTGGCTCGTTACGTCTCTATGTAACATCGCAAACAGTCAATATCTCCAGTGAAAATATTTGCATAAGAAGAGCTTTAGGAGTTTGCGATGAATCCAAATAGACAGCATCAAATGTTGGCACGAGGTTTACTTAGCTTACATCGGCTTTCATTCAGCATGCAAACGAGACGAGAATACTGGACCTGTTTACACATGTTCAGTAACATTTATCTTTCTATGTGGATAACAAACATATTCCCACTTATTGCGAGGCTCGAAGATCTATTTGGCAGCGAGGTCGATAATAGTTAAAAAAGGACCTGGCAAAACCTCTAACTATGCAATTAGACAGCTGTACAATTAGGTCAACGGTCAAAGTGTACAGGTTGACGATATTGCTTACATTTTTAGAGGCAACAAGTCCATATAAAAGGAGGGACGCATACATCTGGTTAAAAACCAACTTTGACATTAGAATCTTTCGAAAGCACACGTGTTTCGCTTGCATTCGCCGTGATGTAACCGAAGCGTAAGCTTTTGTTAGAAAGATGACAAGCAATCTTAGATGTGCTTGGGGTGGATAACAAAAGAGGGTCATTTTCTAAGACCATGCCAATGGGTGCTGAAACTTGTTAATTTGATGAATTTCTGGCACCAGAAATCTACGAACAACTTATTTGAAGAGTAAAAGACGCCTGGAAATTTGACTAAATTTAAGGCAGGGAAATGACTAATTTTCAAAAAAATCTGGCCATGTACCTCGTATAGCCAAACTGCAGTGTGTCATGAGAAAGGAATTCATGAATAAGGCCAGCAAAGTCATACCTGTAATTAAGGCAGAACTTCTTAGAATTTCTTTTTTTCAACCTGATGCAGAGTTGAAAAATAAATCATCCTCTTCAAACCTAAATCAATTATATCAAAATTTGTCACATTTTTACACGTCGTGTCTATTGATAAATAAGAAAAACTAAACAAGATTTCCATTAAACAGAGAGAAGTTGGAGAAAGTTTCAATCTTAGTATTTAACAATTTTTTCTTACAAGACAACATCAGAAGACAGCTGTAGACTGCTAATAGACTTTTAACATTTCCTAATGCCACTTCCTCTATGCGCTATATGTCTTTATAATCACGTATCTATTCATGGTTTATAGCTCACACTAAAAGTAGGATAATCTACTTACAATGAAAGTATCAGCAAAGGCATCTTTCTTTCTTATTCCTGCGAATTAAACACATGCAGGAAAGATAAAACTGAGAATATTCTTATCATAACATAATCTATATAAAAAGTAACATATTACTAACAGTGAACTAACATATTCTCTTCCAGTGTTACAGTCCTTGGAATTTGGCAATGGTTATATTAAATTAAAAGTTATAACGTTGAAGCTAGACATTGGTAGACAATACTGATTAAATGAATATCATTACTATTATTATATAAAAAGTAAGGCAGATGCTAAAAATCAGAAAATAGATTTGGTACAACTATTTCCTTTAAAAAAAATAATCTATACCAAAGACATTGACAACTGCTGAGGCGTAAACAGAAAGACTAGCAAAAAAGGAACTGGATCCATGCAAAATGATGCTTCAATGATCCATGCAAGAATTAAGAAGATATGACTAAATTGAAATATCAAATCTAAAAATTACCTTAGTAACAATGGAAACGGTATCGCCAAGAGGCCTTTTTGCCTGAAACAACTCTATTTTTAATTTAAAATTTTTGTTTATCAACCTTTTGCCTAGTTTCATTCTTTAGAACTGATTTCTTACTTTCATGCTTCTTGTTTTATATTTCCTTACCTTGTGCTGAAGTAACAAACCATTTACAGCCTCAGGACATACCTAGCATCGTGATTTTAACTGTCATACTCCCACGACCAAAGTTAGCAAGACAGAACGATCATTCTAACAAACCACAACTAAATAATCATTCACTTACTTTCATTAAAATCTTTATTGTTTATCTGTCAATTTGAAAGCAAATACCATCCTGGAAACAATTTCAATCATCTGTGCAATATCGCAATGTATCTTAAGTAGAGGTACCTTTAAACATACCGACTTGGGGTAATACGTCTCATTAAGCTCCTCTTTTTCTGACCCGATTCACAGAAAAACAAAACAGCCATTTGTTCCAGATAACATTAAATCATAAACTTCTAACATTATATTATTCCGCACCTACGTTCTCCTACGTTCTTCTATGCTCTCCTATGTTCTTCTACGCTCTCCTACGCTCTACTACCTTCTTCTACGTTCTCCTACGGTCTCCTACGTTCTTCTACATTCTCCTGCGTTCTCCTACGCTCCCCTACGTTCTCCTACGTTCTTCTACGTTCTCCTACGTTCTCCTTCTAAAACTTCTCCTACGTTCTCCTACGTTCCCCTACGTTTTCCTACGTTCTTCTACGTTCTCCTAGGTTCTTCTACATTCTCCTACGTTCTCCTTCTAAAACTTCTCCTACGTTCTTCTACGTTCTCCTACGTTCTTCTACGTTCTCCTACGTTCTCCTACGTTCTTCTAGGTTCTTTTACGTTCTCCTACGTTCTCCTTCTAAAACTTCTCCTACGTTCTTCTACGTTCTCCTACGTTCTTCTACGTTCTCCTAGGTTCTTTTACGTTCTCCTACGTTCTCCTTCTAAAACTTCTCCTACGTTCTCCTTCTACCACTGTCAAAGTGGCTCTGGTTGTAAAGAAGCTCAAAAGGTATACTAAGATTGAACAATGTTAGGCTAAAATTGAGAATGACGAACAATTCAACCAGAGAGTACTTTTCACTCCAAATGAGTGTTTTTCAGAGACTTGTCCACATGGCCTGGAAACAATTTTCTTGTTGGAACTCTAACGATGAGATTATGATTACGATGAAGACACTTCAGACACGACATTATCAAAACATTGCGCCCTTTAACTAAAAAACAACGGTCTCCTCCACCAATCAGAATCATGATTGAAGAGATCGTTAGGCTCATCGGAGCCATTTTACAGTGTATGATATGCTAAGAGAAAGCTATTTTAGCGTTTATTAAGCTCTTGAGAAAACACGAAGAATCCAAAAAATCCAATTCATGAACGATACTTTTCAATATAACATTTGGTAACAGCTTTGAAAAAAACGTCTTTAAAAAGACTAATGTTATGAAAAAAATTGTTATCACAGTAGAAAGAAATTCCTTTGCACTGAAGTAGCAAACTGGGTTATTTACGACATCTTCAACAATGCATTCCTCAGCAGTATCTTTTCTGTGAATACGATGATGACCACGCTTGAACTCTTAGCAGCATAAAATCTTCACAAAGATTCAATACAATCCATTGCTGTAAGAATTACTTCATTACAGTCAAATCCATGCAATGGCATTGGCGTTTAACAGCTGCTTAAAGTAAAATCAACAAGTTACCTAGCTTCAATACCCATTGACTGGCAACGGCTTCTCAACAACCACTCTTTATCACATATTGTATCTGGTATGCCAGGAACACAAATTGATTTGCTCCTTTCATTCAGTGAAGCTATCTTCTCCTGCATCAAAACTTTGGTCCTCAAAATAGGGCATACCAGGTGATTTATTTCGCCCAGTGGTCAACGGGACAAGTTTTGGCATGGTCTGCAGACAGTCAGGGACAATATCCAAACTGACAGATTCCTTACGATCGACTAATGCCTCGCCACTTGTACCAGGCTCAACTTGCCTATCTATAACTGCAGTTACCCTCTTCACAGGAGTGCTGGTCCTTGTCCTCCGCAAGAAAGATTCTTCAACAGCGACCACTGTATCATTTAATGCTAATTCGCTTTCATTTGCGTCAGTAGGTCTGGTTACAGTTACTGATGCCGAAGTAGTGGTATCGGATTGGATTTCGTTAGAGGAAGTTTCACTAGTCTTGGATTCTGAGAAGTCCTTGGAAAATTGCTCTCCTACCCTCTGAATCGTTTCTGTTCTACCGTTTTCTTTATTAGGTTCTTCCTTCTCAGAGTGTTTATTGTTTTCTGTTTTGTCACCAGACACAACACCCTCTTCTCTGCATTTACTAGATGTGCTAGTCTCGTCTAAGAGAGGTCCATGATACTCAACAACTTCCTTGTAAACACCCTTAATCCCTTTTTCCCCGAAAAGTGTTCTTTCGTGTTTATGTCCCGTTTCTGTTTTGGTTTGTGCCTCAAATTTTCGATCACTCCACAACAATGCTGAAGAAAATAAGCTCGGTTTAGAAAATGCATTTTCCTTGGACACTTCAGGCATTCCCAATGGTTCAAGTGTTACCAGAGGGCTAAACAGCCTACTTGAGTCTACGGAGCGGTTCATCACACGTTGGCTAGCTTTGGCATCTTTATCTGAAGAAAAAACATTAGGAAACAACGTTCTCCTTCTCCCACAAGAGGTTTCTTGCTTTCTTGAATTCAATGAACTGGGTCCAATGTTTACACCCAGGTTATCTGAGCCAGCTGATTCTTCAACGTCACGGGATGCGCCTGACGAAGCAGCGCGACTTTCGTTAACATCTTCCACAACCTTATCCTGCTCTTTAATGCTGTTTTTATTTGTTGCCAAAGAAGCGATAACTTCAGATTCAATCGAGGAATTTTTATTAGCACTCATATTTAAAGCTGTATGTTCACGTTCTATTGATTTGTTAGCTTGTTTAACATTCTGCATTAAACCAATTCCTCTTTCCATAGATCTTACCTCTACAGTCACTGACCCTCCACTTCTCTCAACACAATCAAAACTGTTTGTGTCTTTTAAATTTCCAGTACCTACAACTTTTCCATCTCCATCATCTTTGCTCCAACCTGTAAGGTCTTTCATTTTATCTTTTTCTGTAAGATTATTTTGATCTCTAATAATGACGTCAGGGGATTCACTCAAGAAAACTGTATCGCCATTATCTGACTCTCTATCTTCTTTGTTTACAGTTTTGCTAACACAGCTCTCTTCATGGTTTGTTTCGGGCATATTGGATGACAAATCCGTACCTTCCGACAAATCAAATGTTTCATTCAGCCTTGCATCTCGTCTCCCAGCTGTTGCACCTTCATCTGGTTCGCTATAATAATCATCATCATAATTACTGTCTACGCTTACTGCAACATCTGTTTGGACAGAATCTGGATCAATCGAGCCAAATCTATTTTCAGGAGGCGACTCAGAACCATTCTTTGTTGAAATTGCCAACATAATTTCATCTTGCTTCTTTTCAGTTAATAAATTATGATCAGAATAAAGCAGTGCGTCAGACTTTTTACTTGAATTAAAAGTTTCATCACTTGTTTGACCATTCCCCATTTCCTTCAATTTGTCAGAAACTAAATTTACATTTTCGATTTGATCATGTACACTGTTTGTCAACTCTTTCCTTGGCACAGATTCTGATTGCACATAGCTAGACAACTCTTTCCTTTGCGTTAAAGCAGGGACTCCTTTTGTTTCTTCGATGCTTATAATCTTGCCATTCTGGTCATTAAGCAGACTCTTTACCTCGGCTTCCCCCTTCCCTGCATTAGATACAGCACCCACATTTGACATTCTTTTAGACCCATCAGCAAGACCATCCTTTTCCAGTGCCTTCTGGTTCTTCGTTTCTGCACCCCTGTGCATACTTTCATGTAGAGTTTCTAAATGCAACTGACCTCGCCTCTCCATTGCTGATCTTAGATGGCAAATCTGTAGAAGCAAACAAGGAATTAACTTCCGATGAGTCAAAGCCTTTTTTATCCTTTTATTTTAAACAGGGCCTATTTTAAATAAGAAGTTACTTTCTAAATATTTCTTTTAAGAAGAAACATCACTGCGCCATTTAGTTAGGGTAAAGGGGAGTGCTTCTTCGTATACAATACCAAAAATTATCTAGGCCAAAGACAAAATATCTACTTATTTTCTAAAACTTGAAACTTTAAGAAATATTGATTTGAAAAACAAGTTCAAAACTCAATCAAAATGCATGTTGGTACAAAGTATAACATTGCACATTTCATGAAGTACGGTCTTTAAAATGATCGCTTCTACAAAAACTAGCTGTTTACAATACTTCCATGAGAGGAATCTTGAGTGAAAGAAATAATCATGCATACGAAAAGACTTAAAATGCTTTGTGCAAGAAGGAAGGAATACCTCATTCTGAAGGCCAACGCAGATGCCGTGGAGCTCATTTTTGATCATCTCTTCAGCCCGTCTAGCCTTCTCCATTTCATCAATTTTCTGACGCTGCATGTTCATCTATATAACAAAATGGTTCAAATGATTTAATGATGCTTAAAATTATAAAGACTTAGAAAACGAGCCTGTTGGCTCTACAATTTACACTTTCTAGTCAAAATGACGGAAAGACAAAATATATAGTGGTCAATAGAATTTACGCTTTGACAACTTCAAAAGAGAAATCAGGTCATTGGCACAACCTTGACAAGAGACAGACTGTGTATATAAAAATCTATGACGCTTACTTTCAAATACAGCATATACACTATCAAATGTTTTAATGAAATCATGATTTGCTGATGTCAGTTGACTATTTGATGCCAGTAAAAAAAATCCAGTAATAATAAGGACACAGAGCAAAAGGAAAACATGATCATAAAGGGGATGGTAGATTAACGATACACAAGATCATGGCCAAACGAATCAAACATCAGCAAGAAACATCGCCCAACATTGTTTTTTGTCATCCTACAACAGTGTATTGTCTAGCCACCATGTTTTATAATATTTTGTGATGTTTTATCATGTTTTTGCTTGATACTTCATAGCACCTTGAGGTAGTTTTTAAGACACTGAGAAGCTGTGCCTATCGAGCAGTGTCTGGGTCCTTCCTTCGTTTTGACCAGACCTCGTCGTGATTCCTACACCTGGAATACCAAGCTTGGTGATGTCAGAGACTCGAACCCCAGACCCTTGGATCTGTGTCTGTGACGCTAGCTACGGAATCATCCCTGCACCAAACCTAAGCTTGATCTCCTTCAAATGTTTTGTTTCAAATAATGATGATGTTTTATGCCGATGTTTAATTCATTTGGCCAAGGCCAATTTATTTGATCTAAATTTTTCTGAACTTCCCTAGAAAATACTTAAGAATTACCTCTTGCATACAAATTCTTAGAGCATCGCAAATTATGGCATTGTCCTTCTTCTTTTCTCTCTCAGCTCTAAAAAAATTTGCATACAAACATACATCACCCACAATGTTAGCGTTAAAAAGAGAATCGAAAAACTTGAAGAACTAAAGACACCGAGAGTCAAAAAAGGAAAAAGGGTTACTGGCACAACAAACTAGCAAATACTGTAATATCAAGCTCGGGATCAACAGTTAGTAAACCAGAAACCAAAATAGCGGTTAAGAAAGAGAAAAGCTAAATAACAAAAAATGTAACTGCCAAAAGGTTAATCTTGATACTGCAAATTTATGTTATTTGATTGAACGATATTGCAATTATTGATCAAATTGGGTTGGCTGATGATGTCACCTTGACTATAAAAGAAACAGCAAATAAAAAGAAATTTCATGTCATCCTTCGAGCTAACAGCGTAACTATATACATCAAAACATTTTATCAGATTCTCATCAAAATACCTTCTGATATGTCCCTCAAGATTGAAAACTTTTGTGTGCAATTTCTTAATCTCTAGCTGGTTTCTTAAATGTATCATTTTAACATTGTATTTACGAGCATAGTATCCCCTCCTGTGGTAAAATGAAAAAGGCAATCAAAATACAATGAAGATTCGATATAATTAACAACTATGACTTGAAAAGTAGAAGAATAATTCATCAAAATGGCTGAAAATTAGCTCAGAGTTGGAATATGGCAAATTTTTCGGCGATTTTATTTTACTGTTTCTCGAGGTAAGTATCTGACAGTCTCCTTATAAATGGACAAAATTTTGTTTATTTTCGACGTACAACACGCACAATTTCATTGATTATCCTTATAAATGGCTTTGTATCAGCAATAAAGGCAGAATTTTTTTATCATACGTTGCAGCCTACAGTTTGAACTTGCAATGGACCTTGAGCAAAAATACTTCATAAACAGGCAATGAGGTAATAAATTTATAAAAAATCAAAGCAGACTGAATATATCATGGGGTCTTCGTAATAACAGCGAATTTGCCCGCGGGATTATTTCGATCACACAGAAGAAAAGGATTTATAACAACACGCAGGAATCTAGCAGTTAAATATAATAAACAAACCGGCAAGTAAAAAGATAAAATTAAGTGGTGATGCTTACCATACTGCTTGTATTTTGACAACAGCCTTGTGTATTTTCAGAAATCTCCGGTATTTCTTCCTTTGTAAATACCCCCTGATACAGGCCTGTATCATAGCAGCAGCAAGGTATAGTAATCGAGCAGCCTCGTCTGCAGTTAATGCAACTGAGGCATCAATGCTGCCTTGGTGGACACCGTCTACAAAACATGAAATTCAACATCAAATTATTAATGTTTTTGCGACAAGGGGCGGTACAATGGGGCTGAAAATAAGATTTTAATTTGTTACAACAAAATCAAACTTCCTGTTGTAAGGCTCTGGACAGTAATCGTTAACAAACATGGTGACAGAATTCAATCCTATTGTAATACCATTTCTTTACTTTGAAGAAACCTGCTTATAATTATAATTATAGTTATAGTTATTACCGCCACTTCATATTTACCACATATTAAAATGCTTATCTTCGATTTAGAAGAGAAAATATATGCATGAACTGATCATTTTAGTTGTTCTGTTATCACACTGGCCAAACGCGAGAGCATGTTTGCCTGTAGGATAACTCTTTAATCTATATCGATGCCCCCACGCATTGTTATTCAATTCAGCAGACTCTGAAAATGGGAACATCTTTATTCCAGCCTCTACTTTCAAACCATCATTGCAAGCTTGCAATTTTAGACAATTTTTTACTTTTGAAGAGATGTCCAGTTGAGATACTGCAAAGCCATGCGAGGATAACATGAATATTTTATCTTAATGACTCGAATGGCATGCGCATGCTTGTTTAACAAACTACTTGCCAAACAAAAGCTTCTTTCCTCGTGACCTACTCTATCAAAAATCTTTTGCTTAAGAATAAAGAACATTATTCTTATTTACGCACGGACTGGCCTATAATGTGCATAGTTACGTCAAAATTTGCTCCCTAACGATAAACCTTTATTGGAGAAGACACGTCGAGCGTCAATTTGAGTTCCGCATGCTTCTTTGTAGCATTGAAATCAGCGTGCTTAGGACAGCTTATCGCGTTGCGACTAGAGATGTATTCCTGTTGGCTAGCCTAGCTGGCTCTAGACAGCAATGAATCAAAAAGGAGCAATCCAACACTTTACGCCTATAGAAACACATCTCTAGTCAGTATGTAATGAGCAGTACTATGCACAGCAAACCTCGATACAGGGAAGAGGCATCGAAGAAAGGAAGTTTATAAGAGTAATGTAAACTATAAAATCTATTTTTTATAAAATTTTATAAGAAAAGTTTAAGAAGAATTGCATTATGCTTAAAAGCTAGAATTGAAAAGACAATATTACCTTCAGGGGTTTTTGACAAAACTCCTTCCTGGAAATCTGTAACCTCACTTTCTTTTTTCACATGCTGAACGACTGCCTCAGCATCAGAATGCGAGCCACTTGATGATCCATCAACAACTTCCTGGATGAAAACTTTTGCTCTGTACTTCCTGCTTGTTGGTGTACCGGGGCTTGTTTCCTCTTTAGCGTCGCCACCATTAACAGTCATTTTACTGTCTTTGGCACAAGTGGATTTTTCTACATCGATTGAATGCTCTGGACTATGCTTGCTGGGCAGAGGGTGAAACACCTTGTCGTTAAAATTGGCAGAATATGTGAGGTAAGGGTCATTTGACATCAATGTTTGCCAGGATGAGCTTTCGAAATCTGACAAGTGTGGAGCTGTACTTGGGCGTGTCTCTTTGAAGAGGGAAAATAAATTATTTACTTGCAATGCTCACATGGTAAGAACAGAAGTTGGAGTTATTTAAGTAAAATGAGTTATAGACCTCTTCATGGAAAGGGCGAGTTAGCATCGGCCCTGACTGTCTCTGGAAAATGGATTTGATAGATAGAAATTTCAGGCCACATTTGATGCGAAAAATACAAATATATACACAGACAAAATATAACCCTAACCCTAACCTAATATTCCCCCTAAAAGGTGGCGCTTTCTACGTTATTGAATAAAAACGGATGAAGTTCAGGATGAAACGTGAAAGAAAACAAATCATTCCATGTTTAAAATCATCTCTTGCAATCGCATGTTATCGAAGGTCACTAACAAATAGCGTCGGAATAATCGAGGGGTGGGCGTGGTGGTCGGAAATTCTTTCAAAAGCTTTTACGAAGGGAAGCTGGCATAGGTGAAAGAAGGGGGTGTGGAAAAGAGCCAAGAGAACTACACAGGAGAGAAGGCTGATCGTGCAGTAGGGAGAAACACTTGGAATTATCATGTAAACGGACACTTAAGTGAAAAGAGGGGGAACCTTAAAGATTATTAGGATCAGAGATCGGTGTGGAGGGTCCGAAAAATTTCTAAATACTACTAAGCAGAGAGACTAATGTTTGTCCCTTGTTTTTGACTGAGAATAATGATTCAAAGTATGGGAAATAATGGCAATAAGTTGGGTATCAACAATAAAACTGACCTGTCATTGAAGAGGGTTTCGATTTTGGAGGCGAGTCATAAATCAGAGGCAAATGCACAGACTCTGATTCCAGAAGAGATGAGTTTACGCCTAAAAGGAAAAAACAAGAATGTTAAACAATAAAATTATACGCGTAATCATCTACTATTACTCCGCTACAGGATATTTGTACACATTTCCTATAATTACCTTTTCTTGATAGAAATATGCTTCTAGATATATCCAGAAAAAAAATTCTTGAAATAATTGCTGACATATATAAATCGACATATAACCTAAGACCTATTTTAAATCGAGGGATACAATCGCCTGATGTCGCTTGAAGCTCGGAGTCGCGACTTAGGACCGTCCTGCTCTACATTCCAATGCTTACGGTGCTCATTACACTGCGACGAGTACTATGCAACTATATGTGATTGTTTAAACAACAAGGGTGATTGTTTAAACAATTTTATATACGTATAAAATAATAATAAATAATAAATAATTTGTTTAAAGTTGGCGTACAAAATGAACGTCTGATAGCTAATAAAGAAGCTAATTAAGGCCAACTATCTATAAAGAATTAGTATTAAATAAATATATGATACCATATTAAAAATATTTATGCAACGACTGATATGGTATAGCGCTAAAATGTTTATGCAACGTTACAATATTAAAAATGTTTATGGTATAATGTTCTAAATAAAACCTAATCCAGCAATAAATATTTTACACAATCTACAGTCGCATTCTATAGGGTGTGCTCTTAATTCTTTTTTAAATGTTGCCAATGATTGGGACGTAAGCAATAACCTCTTGTGGCTCTGACAAAGTGACGAGGAATGAAATAAGCGGAAACTAGAATGTCTTTTCCACTGATGATGACACTATATTTCACAGGACATTAAGGGTCCCGAGCTCGTCATAAGGAAAGGATATTTTGGGACAACGGGTATCATAGACAAGAACATAACATACAACACCCAAAACTGCAACATCAAACATAAAATTTTGAAGATGATTGGCTAATCAAAGAAAAAATAAGAAAACCTTTTGCAAATGTTACCTTGATGGTGGAAATTAAAAACACATACCAGTGGAGTATCTTGATCCTTTATTTTGAACTGATTTGCGCCTTTGCTATAAAAAAATGCAAACCTTGATCCATAATTGGATATCTCGAATAAAAAAACCCATTACTCTGATCGCAATAAGTTTGATGGTTACAAACTGGAGATTTAAATAGTGTTGAAAGAGCATATCAATCAGTCAAGCTTAGAAACCGCAAACCTGAATCATTCTACTTTGGAGTCAAAAATTGAAGAAAAAAAGGAAAAAGGAAGGCACTGGGACTGAGGTTACAAAAACTTTGACATCTTTTAGACGAAAATATGTTTATGGTAGGCCAGTGCGAAATTAATAATTTGCTTGTCGCTAACAAAGCATGCTAGCACGAAAACAAATAAAAACGTTAATTCAATTTCTCTTCCTCTTCTATTTTTCTTACTTAACTTTATGATCTCTCCTGCTACCTGTCCATATATCCACTGCAACTCCCTCTTTTTCTCTCGCTCACTGATCACAACATCAATAACTCTCGTCCCAGTTCCCTGATTGCTCACAACCACACACATACATGTGTTGATAATTCATTTTGCATAGATGCTCTTAACCTTTCGGGATTTGTTCAAGAAACATATGTGTATAATACATATCAGAGCTAATTCTTTGCTTTAAAAAACCTTTTTCGTAATAAGCGACCGTGAGATGGAAAGATTCCAAAATTTAAACGATAAATCTGAATGCATCGTACCGAGAACTTTGGCGAATAGCTTGGCGATGCTTCGAGGAGATGTCTGGCGAGTTTGTTGTGCTGGCCCGGCTGCAGCATTTTCAAATGGCCTTCAGCTTCGAATACATTAGCACTGTGTCTGCATTTAGATAAAAAAAGTTGAGATTTTGTGTTACCTAAAGGCAGTCTTTAAAACTGTCTACATTTCTGAATGTAAATAATGCATCGAAAACCGAGAAGCGAGTTGGACCCCAGGTTTCACACTCTAGCCTATTGCCTGAAGTTAAGTTCTATCTTTAGCGGTGCCTAGATACTATTAAATTTGACTGAAGGGACAACCCTACTGTAAGCATTCGGCGTTGATTAAGAATGGGACAAGATATAAGTCGGACATATAATTAGACTTTGTACATGGAATAACTAAAATATTAGAAGCTACATTTCAGTATCTCTTAACTACATGTCTCTGAACGACGTATAACATATTGAACTACGTTGTCCATTCACTATTCATTAAAGATATCCTATAAAACTGGCATAAGGAAAGTTACCAAATTATTAAAACGGAAGTGCATGTTACCATCATTGAAGCAGCGAAAAGAATGTTAGTTGGAAACCTACCTGTCCGCTTGCGTCACTGACGATGCATCAAGTTTCACTAAATGTTTGCAACAGCAGATAACATAAGGCCTATAATCAACGTACCTTTAGCAAGTCAAGGAATACACAAGCAAACAGAAGGCAAGACCCTAAGATCCAGAAGAAACGCTATAGGTTGTTAAAGATATACTTCAAAGCAACCGGCAGTGTCAAATAGGCCGTTTCTGCTATCATTGGAAGCCACAGTAACAAATATGAACGGTGAAATATCAAAAAGGAATACAAATGTATTGAAGCTGAGGCTTAATTGTGCTACTTTCTCGATAAATGGAATTTAAACGACATTCGACAACCTAGGTTTGATAAATGACTAACTGAATATTTTTGGGCATTCCACAACAGAGTTCATTCGGTTTTTTGCAGAAATATTCAGAAGGTTCTGACACTTAAAAGTTTAAAGTTACAGCTCAACTTCTTATTTTGCTCAAAAAAATCTAAATTCAAAATTTCTTATATTTTGCTCCACTTTGTCGAGTACCTATCATTTGAATTTTTCGAACAACCTTAAGTTGAGCGTAACAACTCAGCATCTAACTTTCATCAAAAAACTGCTAAATCTCTAAAAATTGTTTTGTGTCCTGTGTCTGTCATTTTATTGTGCTTTGTATTGTATTCATTTCTAGCTAGCATAAAGGTAGTCTTCAGGGCACTGAGAGGCTGTGCTCATTGAGCAGTGTGCTTGTCCTTCATCTCAATTTGACCACAACTCGTGATTCCTGTGCCTGGAATAACAGAAAGCTGGCGACCCTCCTCACTCTAGGTGAAAGTTTACTATTTACTCTAGGACTGGAGCCCCAAACCCTTTGATCTGTAGTCCGCGACCCTAATGGCCTAGCCATCATCACACCTATTGCCATTCCATTCGATTTCCAAACTTTCCTTGAAATCGATTATAGATAGAAAATATATTACAAAAATGCACTTCTTCAATTCAACTAGTAGCTTGGTTGAATTTGTTATGCCTAACCAGATGGCACTTTTGAGAAAAGATACTTTCCCGATTCATCAACAGCAAAAGGATTTCCAAATAACGACAACTCTTCGAGAAAAGGCAAGTTAGCAAACAGCTGAATCTGAAAATGGGGACAATATTCTTGACAAAAGGTATGAATGTTGACATAAAAATCATACTTGGACCACATTCCCTATCGATACATAACCTGACTCATGAAACAAGCAAAGACTAAAATCAATTTTAATCTAGACAAAAATTCAATATAAATATTACGAGGCAAATAGCAACTATAGATAGGTTCACTGAAATTGAACTTAGCTCCAATTTTGTCCTCATTCATAGCAATCTTTACTCGCAAGTTAAGATTTCAAACCCATAATTGAATAACTCGAAAGACAATTCTGGTCTTATACTAGCTATAACAAGTAGTATTTAAATTCAAGATTCCAATTTCTAGCCTTCCTAAACTTTTGGGAAAGACAAATTAGCCTGTTGATAACAAAAATTGTCAAAAGTTTATGTATCGTAGCTGATGCAATCACCCTATGTAAATAAGGTTTCTTTATAAAAGTGGTTGGAGGTAGTGTAAACTTTAGGGAACACTTAAAGCTAGGGAATAAATTCGGGGGGGGGGTTAATCGCTTAAGGTAAGGTTTCTGACATAAAAGGGAGAGTTGTAAATTTCATGGGTTTGAATTCTAAAGTCTTGAATAAATAATGCATGGATTTTGACTTTACTGCAAGTTTTAAGCAAATTGTGACCATTTCCTCATCAATTCAGTGCTTTTGCCCTAACAGGGATGTTAATATTACATTTAGCAATCTAGGTTTATCAAGAATTCTCTTCCTTGTAAACTCCATGTATTCGATGTAATAAAAATTTTTATTTTGGGGTTTTTTACTAGTTAATTCAAATTTTTGCTGCCTTTTAGGAAAACAATATCAACATCGACCGAAGTTCTTAAAAACCAAAATATTATAATTAATCAAAATTTAAACACACCTCTGTCAGGTCCACAAGCTCATTTTCTGCCATTGTCATAGTCATAAGGCTTGGTGGCAAAAAGTTTGGTACTCTGTTGATAAAACAACACCACCTTGATAATTAAAACAACATCAATTGAGTAGCATTTCAAAATGACATTATTTTAAAAGAAACCAATTTCATAAACTTCAAAGGTTACGTGTGGAAGATAAGAAATGACATGTTTGGGGAGAAAGTTATTTTATTAGAATGAAAGGCTTAAAAAGTTTTCAAATTGTTATTGAAAGAATAGCCATAAGTGTATTTCACAACTAGAACATAGATCAAAAACTCTACGCTAGGAAATATATATACCCAGTTGTGAATTGAAATAGGTCAAGTAGAAAAATAAAAATGTTTTTCAACCCACAAGAATAATAATGAGGATATTTGGACCTGGTCAATAAAAAAAGGCTTTCTTGGATTTCGGACAATTTTCCATCCCCAAACATTATCAAGTATAACGCCATTATATATTTAATGAGGTTCCCCTACGTTTCTAGAACATACAAAATTACCTACTCTTTTAAACTGCTTAACTTGTTTCCTTCAAGTAGCAAAGTCTATGAAAAGAAAAATAACAAAATATTACAAACGAGGTATATTACAAAAAAGCTTTACAAACGTCTTAAGTATTGCTGTATTATTGCATGCACAACAGGAAATGAAAATCAAACAGTTTCTAGATTTTCTTTTCGTGTCTTGAATTTGAAATTTATCTTTCTTTGACAGTGACGTTTTACAGTTATTCTTCCACTAAAACTTTTTGAAAACATTAAGTTTGTGGAGCAATGTTAGAATATAGATGTAGTTGAAGGGCTCCAGCCAGAACCCAAACTAATATAAAAAAAGCGTTTCTTCCTTAGAAATATTTCAGGACACCCAGATGGATAACGTCACTTTACCATAAAATTTAGAATAATAATTGAACAAACCTTTAAATGAATCAAAGAAGAGATATCCTTAATTTCTGTGATGCTGTAGAAAGACAATACAATTATAGCTATAGATTACACTGTAAGCTATCCCTGTCACAACAGTATTCACTGGAAGTCTATGTTTCAGGAAATGCTGTTTTTCAAAGAACAGCTAAAACTTCATCATGCTTATAATGCAATATTACCCCACAATTCATAGATATATATCAAGGGAAGCAGGGTCTGTTATTGTTTAATATTTTTTATATTGCTTATGATATTATTTCAGGGTCTGATACTGTTTGATATATATGAACAAGTTGATAATGATGCATAGCAAAACTACTACTTGAAAGAAGGTAGATCAACTTAAACATATGACAATTTTAGTTCAACCACTGAACCCAGGATTCAATGCGGGAGGGGGTGTCCAGGTCCCACTTGATGTCAAATGGGTAAACAAGCCTGTCTGACTAGATGGCTCAATTTTAATATGAACTTTTTTTCCAAGGGGTATCTATCACATCACCATGCAACAACCCACAGACGAAAAACTCCCTGTAAGAGAATCTGCTATTTTGTCAGAAAAATTTCTGATCTTGTTCGAATTACACTTGGTCGTCTTTTTCTGAAAGTAATGATTTTGAAGCTGACTATAACAATATTTCTTTCATTGTTTTGAATCAGATTGGCAATCTGTTTTATTTGATTTCTAATATAGTTGTGTTATGTTCAGTTTCGTGAAAAGTTTAAAATGCATTTCAGATTTTTGTTGGAAAATCTAAATTTTCCGCCCCTCCAACAGATTTTCCTATCTAGCCACTGATAATAAGTGGCACAGTTTCAAAGCTGGATCAGCTATCATCATAACTTCTGCAGTAAAAATCTGATTATATATTCTTAAAATAGAAAAACTGTTACCCATTATTTGAAAGATCCAGATGATGCAAAGATGTATTCTTGCTCAGACTCCTGATATCCTGAAAGAAAAATTGCTTTTATGAAATGGCCACAACCTCCGGTTATATCAGGCCTTGCTCTAAGCAAAATGAAGGTGATCCGTGAAAAGAGCCCCTCAGAAACTCTAGGTGCCCCATTTCATACCTCTAGGAATGAAATGTCCTTGAGAGCACCCTTCGAGAGCTTCGGAAGATTGTGAGCTTTATATCAAGAGCTTCGGAAATGTGTAAGATAAGAAATTCAATGGTGATACCAATATCATAATATGAAAAAACAAAACATGCAACAAATACTATGTTAATAAAAATATAGAAATAAAATAAAACAATAGATATGTAAGTTGCCATTGCTTGATGAGCTTTTGTCACGGTCAGTATCACTACTATTATGTTGAGCTTCACATATTGCTTCATTAAAACCCATGGCTTTAAGTTGAACATTTAACTTTGTTTCCCTTTTTTATGTTATCCATTCTATAAGACACACTAGAATCTACTAGTCATGAAAGCAATGCAATAATTTGGACGGAAATATCATCTCTGATTTGCACAGGTGATTTTAAGTTATTTAGAAATAACAGAAAATAATACTTCAACAGAAGAATAACGCTTGCTCAAAGTCAAATAAATCTGCTGGAGAAGAAACTTGATGGCCTGTGTCCTTGGTGGTTATTAGAGGATTATTAGATTAAAAATGGTATCGAAAACCCAATGTTGTATTTGCTGAATTTTTCTCCCAAGGGGTAATCTTGCGAAAATCATAATTTTGCGGTCTGTTGGGAAGATTGTTTTTGCTTGATCAAGTTTATTCAACAAATGTCAAAAAATTTATTTTGCTCCGTTGTAATATTGTTTTTAAGTGTTGAAGGGCTCACTAAATGGCGCTCCAAAGCTTTTTTTGGGTGCGCTTTAGGCGTGTGCGCTCGATTGAGGGCCTTTCCGGGCAAGGCCTGGTTAAAGTGTAGGGACCATGAATTGAGATCTGCTTTGGCATGGCCTTTGTCATACTCACATCAGTTGCCATTAATAGTTATCTATACAGACGCACTAATTTTAATAAACTAAACTTAAATTCAAAGTTAAGAAAGTAAACAAACTTCATGTCTTTGAGTCCAAGTGCCTTGCTGTGAAGCAGCAGTGGTATCACAGAAGATGATTAAAATACCTAAGAATAATTGCTGAACTAGCAGGATTTATAGTATATCTAACAGACTTAAATTTCTATAACATGTCCTGTAAGCTCCTCTCTAAATAAACAAAGGAATGCTTAATCACTTACTGTGATTTTATTTCTTGAAAGACATAGCCACTCCAAATGTGTGAGGTTTGACAGGCCTGAAATAGTGAATAATGTTTAGATGTGATATACTGCTGATGAAATTGGGATAAACCTAAACTGGCTGATTGGCTATAGCTTTTAAGTGTTTTGCTTTGTATCCTTTCTAATGAAATAGAGCAGCCATAATTTCTTAAGATATTTTAGAGTTATTGTCATAAAAAGTTTTTGTTCATCTGTCCCGATTTCATTCCTAAAAACAATGAAGGGATACCTTTACCCCTAACATAAGGAAAATAAACACCTTGACAGTTAGAAGAGCAAAAAGTAAAAGAAGCTTTTGGATGCTTATTTTATGAATTTGCTGATCAAGGGAGGCTTCCTCCATTGAGCTTCAAAGATTGCTTCCCTAAAAGGACAACTTTTTTGCCAAACAAACAGACATAGAAATTGTGAGAAAGCAAAAACTATGCAAGAATAATGGCTTCTGCAAATTGTGGCTTGTTCATAAAATTTCTAAGGATTTGTCAGATCAGCTGGTTTTGTTCATTTTTGAAAAATTTTAGCCATTTATGGTTAAACCATTTATTATAACTTTATAAAGTTGCTAGAAAATGAAGTAAAAATCTGCATACCTTCTGCTGATATGATATTATTTTCTTTGAGGTCAAGCACTCGGAGATTTGAAAGATGGGTTATCTGATCAATTTGCACAAGATTGTTCCTTGCAACTGAAAGCTGTTTGAAATAGAAAATTCAACTCATTAAGCACCATTCACATTTACAATCTAAGAATCACAATAACGAGGTCCTTAACTAAGGTCTTTTCTACATGCACTTACACTACCTAGATGGAAATAATTCAAGAATGCAAAGAAGGATCATGATAAGTGGCTACACTGTTTGTTAGAGCCTCTGAATTACTTAAGTGAGCCATGAGTTTGAATTCTCCATTAAGCCCAGGATATGAAAGCAGGCAGTCATTATACAAAAACCAAGCTGAGATATTTTGTGCTCTTTTATGGTGAGCACATAAAAGCTTCTACATCAGGTTGTTTGTCCTGCCTTACATCTAAATAAATATACTATATAATTTATTCCTCAGAAACCAAAACAATAAGCAGTTGCAATGCAACCTAGATTCATTACCATTAACTTAGACCTAAAGACATTTTCAACTGAGCTACTTTCCTTTGAAACTAAAAAATTATGGAAATAATTATAATTATTCACCTCCTTTTGAGACCATCTAGCAATCTTCATAAAATATCTATATCTTCATAATCACAGACAAAAACAAATAAAGATTTAATATTTACCTTCTCCAATGACAAAACATTATGCAAGGCTTGAAAATTTGAAACCTGGTTATCATCTAAAATGATTGTAGTTGAATCTACCATTTCTTTGGGCAAGTTAATACTGGTCAAGCTTTTATCTGAAAAAAATGTAAGACGCTTGAAATTGTTATATCACATTGATATTGACTTTTATCATATCACATTTTCTCAGACTATCAAAAATTTTGACCTTGTTTGGTAGGGTTGAAATGAAAGCTAATAGCTAAAATCAAGGCCACATCTACTATTGCTCCTAGGAGGGGGCGGGGTTCGTGCCAAAAAAATATTTCAAAACACTGTTTTTTGTGAGCAATCGTTTTCGTTCCTATTATTCTCAAACAATTGAGCTCCCCAATATTTTTTCTTTCTGTGGTAGGCTGAAATTAACAGAGTCAGTGAAATGGGAACTACAATTTTCCTGACATGACATTCTCTCAAAATACCAGTGTAGTATGTGTGGAGATCTAAACAAAACACAAGCTAGTTGTCTAGTTAATCAAGCTGGAAAACTAAACACAAAAACAGCTTTGAAAATTGGGTAAATACACATCAAGAAATCTTATGACAATTTAGAATACATTTTCCTTGGTAAAACTGTACCAAGCAAGTACCTACCGATACTTTAATTTGATTTTCTTCTGAGCAGCTTTATGAAAACTCAAATGCTAGTTTCTACGTTGAATCATTATCTTAAAGAATACATACCGCTAAGATCTGTGACTTTCTTTCTTTTGGTGGCCATTTCATATATGTATGTTTGCATCTGCCAGATTTGTTGTCCTACTTTCCCGCCATGATGTTATAGCAGAAGTTCCTTGAAGCACTCTATGTGTGTCGTAACAATCGATGCCTCCGCAATGGCAGCATGGTTGCACATCAAATCATTTAACTCTCCTTTTCTCGCTTTTTTGACATCTCAAAGGAATATATCATGTAAATATTCTTTTTTAGTTTCTCATTTTCGATCTGTTGAGTGTCAGACGAAAATTCTTAATTTTGTCGTACTTTTTTTGACACCTTTTTAAATTGGACCGTTGAAAAATTACTTCAAAGTTGTTGTGTGAGTTATTTGCCATGTAAACTGTGTTACGTTATAAATAATAATTGCTACGTAAAAGCTTCTCAAAAACTTTCCTATTGTCAATCTACAGGGGCAAGGTGATATGACTTTTGTGACGATATGGCATTGCTTATGATAAGACTTAGTTTACATAGGAGAGTCTTAAAAAGCTATGTTGTATTTATATTGGGAAAGATAAATAGACAAATAAAAATGAAAAATTCATAGAACTAGTGGGATTTAACTTCAGGACCCAGGTTACAAATTCGAAAGTGCAGGCCAAGGCTAACAAAAGTGAGAGCAAGGCTAAAGGAAGTGGGAGGCCGAGGTCTCTCTCACCTTTTATTACAACTTAGAAGTTATTTGCTTCGCGAAAAAGTGGGGACATGGCTCCTGTACCCGCCTGGGTACCAGACTCACATACATAAAGTGAGTCTGGTACTCAGGGTATGGCCCTTGGCACTTCGGTGAAAACTACCGTGAGACTCACGGATTAAAAGAAACTAGGTAGACTTTCCTTTCAAGTGAGGGGTCCCGCAGGTGACACACCCCCAACATTTCTAAACTGTGGTAATGTAATAGAGCTAAAATAATGCCAGCCTAAATGTACGTAGCTATTTCGTTTATTACGTAGATTGTTAGGAAATCCCCCTTGTGTCTCGAATGTTCTGTCTTCGCGACACAGCACCACGCAGCATTACACTGCATTCCATTATATTGTTGTAGGTTATCCCTCATCAGGATTACATCATATTGCGTATTCGTCTGTTTCTAGAATTATCTCGTAGTCTATTATTAGTAACATTTTATGCTTAGTTATGCTTTTCTTTTATTTCCTTGTACATATAAATACACGTAGTTAGTTAGATTCCAAGAGAGCTTCAGAAGGTATTTAAGGCTAGACACCAGGAGGTAGCTAACCGTTTCGCCCAAGAGGCTTGCGAAAACTCTTGCGGCCCAGTTTGGATTTAGGACAAGCAGTGCTTGAGAAAGACTGCGTTGTGCCTCGTTTTATACTTTGTTGCATTGCTTTAAGTATTAGCTTTAAGTTCGCGGATAACTGTTGTTGATTATGTTAGCAGTTTGATTAAAGTTTAGCGTTGGAATCGTTATAAGATGGACATGAAAAGAAAAGTATAGCCGCTCGCAGAAATCGTCATTCTTCAAAGTTTCAGTCTTCCGAGTATCATTTCAATTTAAACATCCATTTTACAGTAAAATTCAGGCAATTACTCGGAAATAAAAAACTCTGACATTGGAAAAGTTTGTTTTTATTTCTTGATATACAACTTAAGAGCACATATGAATAACTTAAATACTGATAATGATATCATTTATTATATATTTATAGAGATAAAATAAATTACATTAACTTTTTTATGCTTTTAATTGAAATCCTTATTGATTAAACTTTTGGAAAATTTATGGGAAACGGGAAAATTCGGGCACAAATTTTTCGACACCCCCTCCCATAAGCGTACGGGGGAATTTTTACAGGGGGGGGCGGTAGGATTTTTGCCCGAATACAGAGGCATGCATATATTTATGAGCCTGTTGGTGATAAGGAGCTTGACATAGGAATATTTACATTACGAGTTCTTTTTCACCGAAATATCTTAAGTAAAAATAATCAGTTGATAGTTGAGCAAACCAATCAGATACATGTTTGGGGTGACATGCTATCCTTATCGATTCTTCTTTAATGTCTACTGTTCAGATCTAAAAGTTTGATCTAAGTTTCTCATAGATAAGAGCAGCAATGTATAATATTTTCCAATATTTTACTTAATATCACTAAAAAAATACTATTTTAACTCTTGAATTCGACTACAGTCAAAAGAAATGTGAGTCCCGACCCTTTCTATGTCCAAATGTATCAATCGTCGCATTCATGTCTCTTTTAAAAACTTCGTTTGAAAATTTTCCTCTCGATGCTAAGTAGTGCCAGCAGTATTGCTCAGCCGTTCTTGGCCCATGGTTGATCTGAGATATTTTTTCAGCCGTCGAAGGCCACTGAATGATCTTTCAGCTGAGAAAGATGTTGCTGGAATCGTTGCTAGCAATAATGTTGTTTCATACAGGAATGGCAGTACTTGATGCAAACCTTCTTGAAACATCTTCTGGACAAGCATTGCTGCATTATTACCATAAGATTCAGAAGCACTTTGCTTCTTGTAATTTTCAAAAACCATCTTATCATTTTTAAGGCACTCTTGGTCGATTTGATAATGCAACGATATTGACTCGTAGCTTTCAGTCTTTCGATTGACTCGTAGCTTGAAGATACCACGAATGTTCAACCAAATTACCTAAAGTAAGTCCCATCACTTTACAGTGTCATTTCTGCCCGACTATTTGCGGATAATTTTTGAAAATTTGCCCGACTGACATGGTTTTTCGAAAACTGGGGGGGGCTGCCGCCCCCCAGCCCCCTGGCCCGTACGCTTATGCCCCCTCCCCAATACTTGAGGTATCAATCCCTCCTGGGCGCTCGTTAACAATTAGGTGCCCGCGATAGTAAAATATTTATTTTGACACCTCATTCTCTTTAGTTTAAGGAAATCTGAGAAACCTTATGTAAAAAGATCCAAGTCCAACTTTAACATGCCTTTAACAACTGTGACATTTTTGAAAAACCAACTCATGCTCTGAAATAAAGAAAATCTGGCTAAAAAAATTTCTTGTCTTGGGTGGCAGTTGTTGAAGGCCCTAAGCGCGGTTAATGCAGTAGGATAATGAGATTTGTAAATGAAACAAAAAAGAAGGCAGACCACCTCATTGAGGCAGAACAAGTCAGCGAAAACAACAGCAACAACAATCACAAACATCTGCAGGGGGCAAAAGCATCGAGAAAGGTTTCTTAGCAAAGCAAACGAGCTTGTAAATCATGATATAAAACTTTATCGGTATATATGTTTTATAAGATTGTTTGAAATAAAGATGTCTTGATGCACATCCCAAAGATAATTTGGAATATCGATTGAGACTATGGCAGCTAAAGATAACCTTGAAATGCCCTCTGCCCAAGAGATCTTAGGCAGGACAAACTTGAATCCTTCTCTGGGTAGCCCAAGTTCGTCACACAGTAAAGATGTTTCTGGTCTGCAAGACACTGAGAACGAAGTTAAAGGACAAGAGCATTCATTTCTTAATGATAGGGGTGATGTAGAGCAAATGGAAAATGGTCTCCTCGAACTGTTGGATGATTTCAAGAAAGGAAAGCTTCACGCCTTTGGTATATTTTCGTTTTCCTATATTCAAACTTTCATTCACAGCAATAATTATCTAGTACATTTATATTAAATAGATGAACTACAAATTACAATAAATTTTGAAAAAGGAAACTGCATACAGTTCACAAGTCAAAATGTTTGCTATCGGACATATGAAAAGAACTCATAAGGAGCTATGTATGTCATATGCCTGAAATATATTCAGAGGAAATATATTATAGAGGAAATATATTATAGAGGAAATATAAATGCTAACAAAGCTTCTGCTCTGTTTAACTTTTTTTAGGTGGAGATGCATATTTACAGGAAATGAACCAAGTAAGAGATTTGCAAGAAAAACTTTCAAAGTTGCATTTTGAACTTGAAGAGGAGGATCTGGGTCAAAGGTAGGCCTATGAAATTAAATATCGAGGCCAAAGAGCTTCCAGCTTCAGCAATTTTTATGTAATCTTTTTGCTTTGCTAAGGTTTTTCAGCAGTGTTTCAGTTTTATTTCAAAATATCATATATGAAAGCAGGTTGGCTGGTTACAAACAAACAGTATCCTCCTTTATGATCTGGTTTTTGAAGAGATCTGGTTATGTGTTTTTAGCAAGCATCTTGGAGTTCTCCTTGTGCAGTCAGACTTTCTTGAAAATGATTAAGCAAATCTCCTTTTTGCCTCAGCCTTGATTTATTTATTCACCTTTTGATTAAGTCAATAGGGATAAAAAAGTTTGATTCTTGAAAAATGAATTTGACTCTTCCGCTTACATGAGCAGTTTTAGCTGATTCAATCCGCTGAATGCAATAAAGTCCAACCCTAAATGTGGACTTGACATGCATGTCTCATTGAAAGTCAGAAACACAGCAACCAATATTGTTCCTGAAACAGTGATTTTATTTGATCCAAGAAAAAATCAGCAATAAAAATCACTTAATTACTTTCTATTTTAGTTGAGCCATGGGATGGATTTACCATATATCTCTTATATAAAATATATTGTACCTGCTACCCTTTATTATTTGTTGAGACAGTATGTCAAACGTATGGGTAGAAGCTGCCTGTCTGCACTTAATGAAGTTGTATCTGCACATTATCTTGCTCATCTAGTATGCAATTTTATGCTTTGCCTAGCAACCCACTGTCGCTTTTTGCAAAAAAAACAGCCCTGTATTTTAAACAAATGACATACATAATTTTCCTCACTTACAGAATGACTTTATCTGAAGATGAACAAGAAAAGAAAAGCCAGCAGAAGCTTGAAGAATTGATGAAAAATGTAAGCTTTATTTCTGGATACAGTTCTTGAGACATACACACAATCATCATATATGGTTTGATAGCCCAACATCTACTCTCTCTCTCTCTCTTACCTTCCCCTTCCTCTACTCAGATTTGCAGTATTTGTATTCTGATTGCAAATAGTTAACATAAAACTGGAATATGTAAAATGTCACACTGTTTAAACAGTACTGTAAATTCTAATAAACAACCGATAAATTATTATCCAGAAGTATTCATCAAAACAGTATGAAATATTTTTTTGAGGATCTGCTTCAGTAATCTACCTTTTCTGATCTTTTATGCACCATTATCAATGTTCAGATGTCTATATATAGACCATGATTATTATTGAAATCATGTGGATTAAAGTCCCCAAACCTCTGGTTCAGCACTATTGTGAAAATTAACTAGATATGTTCCTTACCACATCTCATTTGCAAATAGGCCATGCTTTCAATTAATGACAATTTTTTTTCAGCTTGAAAAGTTGTGCTCATCAGTGTATCCTTTTCTAAAGTGAACAATGATGCCTTGCTTGGCATCTCTATGACCATTATTTGTCATCATTATATTTCTTGCTTGTCAATTGGATCATTTTCAAAGATTTGAAAAAAGTCAGAAAAATAGAGCCTTAAATTGATGTCATTAAAATTAATTTCTAGTGATTGAACAAATAACCTAAAAAAAACACTAAGAAATAAATCTAAATGTGTAGGGTTTAGCTACAAATTCTCTAGCAATTTTTTTGCACAAACCACTCCCTCTTGATGCTCTACTTTATTTTACAATGATAATGTGCAGATATCATATCATATCATATATGTATCATAAAATTATCTAAAATAACTGCTGGATATTTTGAAAATATACATTCTACTCTAAGGATTCCAGGGGGACCATGTCCGCCCATGCCCTGTAGCTGCTATAGCCCTGTCTTATAAAATTACACTGGATAACAGCATTGATAGCAGATTAAGAATAGAGATATTCAAAGTATTTTGAAAAACAGAAAGTATGGATAAGATACCTTTTAACTGTATGGTAATGATGAAAGATGAAAATTTACAAAGTACAAGATAAAATTAAAAATAAATTACAGCAAATGTAAATTTTGGAAGACAAAGAAGAAGTAATTACCAATTCAGCATAAAAAGAATACAAACAAAGCATAAAGAAATGTCAGAGAAGTAAAGACAGATTTGACACAATCTTTCCTATTGCATGACTTCACTAAGCACAAGGTGTTGAAAAGACAGCAAATTAACATCTTGCATGAAATTAAGTATAAATTCATGTAAAACGTAAATCAAAATTTAGATATGAAGCTTTCCAACATTTTTAACGATGCATAAGACGATCAAAATGTTCACAGCAAGAGTCCTATTCAAATCCATACGGGCATGGCGAGAAAGCAGTGCATGACAAAGCCATGAGAGATCTACAAAGTAATAGTGCATGGGAATTTCGAAAAGAACTTCCACGACGATGAAGTCAGTAGCAAAAAGAACAGAAAAAGCAACAGTCGATATTGATAAACTGAATAACAATAAAACCTCAGGGGTTGATAATATATCTTCCAAAATTGTGAAGTATGGGCTCCTAAGATTGTCCGAAACTATCTAAGAAATCAACAATGACGTCTTTGAAGTCAGAGTAGATCTTGTAGTTGAAGTTAAGTAGAACTAGGTGAAATCATGCGAGAAATCAATACGAAACCATCTTTGCAGTAATCTGGCAAAATAAAAATAACATATTTAAATTCACAGTACGTCGAACATGCTCTGGGTAAACAAGTTAATCATTGCTTGTATAGATGTAAGCAGAGCTATTTTGCAAAATCCAATGCGGACAGCTTCTTGACATTCTAAAAAAGTTCCTGTATGAAGATGAAGCAAGAATGATTCCATTGCTATTAAATAATATGCACCTGGGTGTAAGAAAAAGACAAGCTTAGACTGCATCATTTAGCAACAATATGGGGTGATGCAACCAATGGTATGAAATATTTGCTTTGAAGAATCATTTAGAAAGGCTGGAGCTTATAGATAATTTTGAAGAAAGTAGCAACAGGTGATGGCACTGATTCCCGTTAGACAATTGAAAAAAAGAGATATGCTGTAGTGGCCTGTAATGATCCTTTCCCTTCTTTTATCTCTTAACCCATTGGTGTACATAGCTGTCTTCCCGCCGTGTGTTTATTTATGTTATGCTACGCTGCTTAGCTATACCACTGTTTTTGTTGAGAAAACAAATTTAGTTGGTTTCAAATAATAGAACAACGCGACGTACGTCTCTTGAATTTCGACTTCGTCCTTCGAGACTGCAACGTTATTAATAACACAGGTTGCTAAAATACCATTGCAGGTAAAAGATTATTTGAAAGTAAACAACAGCAAAACAGAGCAGAAATTTTGTGGGGAGACAGAAATACAAAACAGCACTGGATAGTCAAAAAGCTTAGCCCTTTCAGGAAATACAGAAAATATACAAGGAAGAAAACATTCGTCTATCACTAGCAAGTTACTTCACCTCAAGCTTAACAATATACTAAAGAAAGTACAGTTACAACATTGAAACAAGAGAAGACTTAAGTACTAGTTAAACCTCTGGTAACACTAAAGTACTAGAGAAAGCTAAAGTAACAAATTAACCAAAGATGTCACTAAAGAAAGATATCATTTAAATGGTGTAGTTTCAACAATGGACAAAAAGAAAGATTTGTAGATCCAAGAATATACAGCAAAAAACGATAATATAGTGAGCGAAAAAATTGGGTACCAGAATGGAATAAATTTAGTTTTGATAGGTTAAAACACGACGTTTCGAGCATGCACTCTTTATCAAGTGGCGGATATAAATATACAGCAAAGCTGAAAGGGACATCTTGGATTGTTTGCACAGCAGCAGAAACATAAACCACGTTAAAATTTCATGCCATGACTGCGAAAATGCAGTTATACACGTTTAAAGAGTCAAAAGTCCGTAATGTTGCGAGAGAAGTTTTAAGAAGAGCAGGAATAGAAAGTAGCCTGATGAAAGTTGTAAGGAAAATAGCAAGGCAGAATTTCGTTTAGACCCATTTCGTCAGATTGGCCAAAAAACCCAACTCTAAGTGACAGGTCCGAAAACCCTCACTACATTTATTCTCCTTTTTTCTTCACACGAAGCGCTATACTTGCAAAGGTGAGGGATGGTGCAAATTGCTATACCAGTACATTGCTAACTAAACTTTGGCACAAACAATGCTACAGCCAAAATGACAATAACTCTCAACATTAACAACGTTTAGGTTTGCAAGTTTTGCAACAAAATTTCAGTCATGGTTTCTTTCGAAAATGGAGGATTGAAATCCTTGAAATTAATGGGAAAACATGCAAAGTTTTCACTGCAAACAAAATCGCCTTAGGAAATGTCATCCGGTTAAGGCGCGCATTTGACTCTACAAACATTGTCTGAATAGTAAATATTGGTAAAAGGGTTTATTCGACTTGTCTTCCTTAACTTATTTTCAGACAAAATTTACAGCAAGAAAATGAATGATTTTCATTTTAGATATCTTTGCTGTCATTGTCTTCCAGCTTTATTTGGAACAGAAGGCAATCTTGGACATAAACATACACATGCTACGTGAACACAACATAAACAGAACAATATTTACTGTGATAAAGCCCCATATGCTAGGGAGAGACATCAGACATTTTAATTTTAATATTTTAGTGTAATGTATTGGATATATTTACATCATATTTGATTGTTTCTGATCATTTTGCAGTGTTCCTTCATAACATTCACCTATTGTTGATTATATATATGTACATATTCTTACAATTGATATGAAACCCTCCCTTTCCTCATTCAGAAGTTGCAGATTGTGGCATTTGACATTGCTAAAGGATGCTCTGTCAATATTGTCCCAATAAGTTTACAGGTAACATCCATAAAGTAAATGACAAAGCTGATAGTGAGTGCACTGGTGAGCTAAACATTGACTTGTTGCCAGTAAATTATCCAAAAGCAATCGTGTTGCTTCTAATATGGGGACAGGACCACATTGACACAGAGCTGTTGAAACAGAGCCATTGAAGTAGTTGTATTAAAGTAAGGAATAGCCCTTAGCATTTAGCCTGGTTTGAGCAAAAAAATATTGTTTGGAAATTATAGCTTTTTGAAAAAAGCAACATCAGGCTGACAGAAAGATTTTTATATCATTATACTGGTGACAAATAAGACTTAGATATCTGGTTATCTCTTTTGCGTGTTATTATGCTAAAACCGTGAAATCAGGGCCAGTTCTTTCAGTGCATAGGCATGGATGTTTTTGTGCCTGTTCTTACAAGGAGTTATTACATTTCATATGTATTCAACAAGTTATAAATTAACCTCAACTTTTCAAAAGCGCTTCTTTTTATTACAATGCAACCAATTGCAACTATTCTCACAAGGGGCAAAACATGTTTTTTATATTTGTTTTCCTTTTTTTAAACTAATATTCCTAATTCAAAGGTTTTCATTTACAACCATGAACGCACCTTTTTTAATATCTCTGAAATTAATAATGACAAATGGAGGAGAAAGATCTCATCCAAAAGAAATTTAAACATGAATGAGACTTTTAAAAGCCACCATACACATTTTAGCAATTGGAAATGAGCTAAGTTCAGAAAAGTTTTAGAATGGGGTTGCATTAGGTTTTACATAGAAAAATATTAGCATTATTTCAAACCTTGTTCTTTATCTTTAAACATGAGCAATACAATTTATGCTAACTTGTGTGTCAGCTTTTTAATTTAATTTTCTTATGGAAGATTTCTCAAAAAACTATTTTGGGTGGGGATTCCAGACTTAGGAGTATAGTTGCATGATACAAGCGACAATCTATAGAAATTTTGCAATTTAATTGAACGGAAAAACCAACATGGAGACAAGAAATGGCAAAGAAAACAACAGTTGGCCATATACAATATCATTCAATTCCATAACTTATCGCTTTCCACCAACACGAGGTGCTGAGGCTTTTACAACTTTGGTTGCCTTGCTTTTCTGCTTTGGGGCCTGCAAATTAAAGAATTTGTGTCTCAAAAATGTAAGAAGTCAGTTAACTGAATAAAATGAAAATTCTTGTTCATCAAAAGCAAACAATTACTTCAAGAGCATTAACAAATAAAATCAAATTTGGTAATATTTCCAAAAACCATGTTGTGCAAGAGATAATGATTTGTTTCCCGGATACACAGAAAGCCGCAAGGCTGAAATACACTGTCCTTTTTTACGTCTGTTTTTACCTCAAGTATGAAAAAAGGTAAAGTATGAAAAAAAGGGATGACGGTAAGCTGTTTACACATATCCTTTAAAAAGGATCCCTTTTCCTTTTTGCTCTTTTCATCTTCGGAAGGCCAACGAAAAAAGTAGTTTCTGCCTGTTTACTACTGGTACTTATTGACAAGCAACAAAAAAGGTAAAATTAAAGAGATTTAGGTTAAAACTTTGGAAGGCTCCAGAGCAGGAGACAGTCAGTTAGGGGTTTCTGCAACTCTGCTGAATGAATTTCACTTGGATGATTGTGTCAAATATGAAAGGTTTTCTGAGAATGAGCCCTGATATTTTATACAAACTTCAGCCACACACTGTGTGAGGGACTCCCTACACTCTTTTTTTATAAGAATACAAGTCTCAAAATTGGTCAAAAGTTAAGAACAAACTGGGGCTAAGCTAGTGTAAAATGCAATTTTGAACAGCGTTTTATCTCAAAAAGGGGGATTTTACAGCCATGTTTGGATGTCTTTACAGTGAATATTCAAACATGGCGCAAATAAAGGTTGTCTCGCGCACTTTGTTGGCAAATGAAGCCTGAACAGACATCCCTAGATTGAAATACTAACAATTGCACTGCTTATACCCTATTAAGAACAAACTAAGAACAAACCAGACTAAGATTTTTGAAAAAATTAAGAACAGTCAGTCTGAATGTAAATTTACTGGTTCGTGTAATGAAGTGTGTAGTCTATACCACCATGTATCAAGCTTGTGGCACTGTTTTGATTCCAAACCAGACGTCATGACGTAACATGGAGACATTCGAGAGAAACAGTTTTAGCGCCTTGTCAAAAAGACAAAAGAAAAACCTATCCTTTTTGGCTGCAAAAGTTGAACATGTCCAACTGGCATAGGTGAAAGGAAAATGAGGAATGAGGGTCATTTTTTCCAATTTACACATTCAGTTTTTTCTTCCATTAGGTGAAAACGGACGTAAAAAAGACAGTGTATTTCAGGCTTAAATCTGACAAAATTGAGAGAGACAATTCATAGGTGGCTCAATCAAGATTATGAACTGACAGATTCTTCACAACAGTGCACAGCTATTCTGGACTTGCTAAATAAACCATTTCAATTAAGAAGCCTCATTTTGATATCCCATGAAAATTTCTTCTCCGAATTACATAGATTGTGAGTCCTGTTTAACAATTAACATAAAAAAATATATCATGAATAAAAGTTTTATATACATTTCCAGGTTTAAGTTTTCACATTTCAAGTATCTGACCATGAGAATTGACTTGGGATACAAATTGCCCCCAAGCACTTGGATTTTTTGAATCTGCTACTTGTTCTTTGCAGATAAGATTTCCATCTATTTCCATCCATTCAACAAGTATGCTATCATATCTACAATTATTTGAATTCACTCCCAGAGTGAAAATCTTTGAACTTGCTTTGAATCTGATAGCATGTTGACACTCAAATCCAAATAGTTTTAAACAACGATGTAATAAGCTTGAATGTTTTGCTTGATAGAATAGCTCTGAATTCAATATGGTACCAATTCAATTTGAATATGGTACCAATGGGTGTGAAAATTTTTATAACTGCAAGGAAGGTTTACAGCTTTGTAAACATCCACATACATGTGCATAGGACCTTTATACTGCCATAAAATGCATACCGCAAACACTATCAAAAAACCCAACTTGACTAAAGCTTGAATCCTGACCCGAAAGTAAAAAGTTTTGTGAGGTAGATTGTATGGTGTATTTTCCACATGTTTAAAAATTGTTCTGAATCTAGTTGGGTTTGCTGTATGCTTAACTTTAAATTACCATTTTTATGGTTTTCTACTTACTTTAGAAGACTGTTTTGATTTTTCAACCTTCTTTGCCTTCGCTTTTTCCTTAGCAACCCTGTAAGAAAAGGCAAATTGAAATAAATCACATCCTTAACAAGAAACACATATAATATTAATGAACATATCTAAAAGGTGAACTGACATTCAAAATAACTCAACCTCAAATGAAAGCTTATCAAACAGAAATACCTGAGACATAATCAGTTTTTAATATTCAACAAAGTTAGCCAATAAACATTTTCTGAGTACATGCAAGTTTGCCCAAGGTGCTTGTGACATCCACATAATCGTGATGTCACAAACACCATGTTCAAATCATTTGAGCAGCACAACAGTCTGGAAGGCTGTATCCTGTACTTTTATGAATTTGCAGAAGAGCATTGATACAATAATGAAGTAGGTTTTTGCTCCATTCTGACAAAATGATTATAAAATAGATGATGACTCCTTCGCAAACCTTTCATGATAAAATTTGCAAGAATATTGTATGATTCAAGGTGTTTGAGCCCCCTCCTTCGTCTCACAGGACCTAATGTGTGGCGAGCCAACATATCAAATAAAGGCAGCGATAAATATATTGGCAGGATTGGAAAAAGGAGTGACAATTAATGGCATTTTTCAAAAGGAGTGATATAGCATTTTTCAACTACAAACTACTCCTTCATATGATTGACTAGATTATTCAAGTTGAATTTTTCTTATTTTCCTGAAACCTATCCTGATTAACTTCAATATATGATGTACAGATTTTGAATTCAAGTCATTTGTTTCTGGCAAATTCATATTCAATCACATGAAAGATTTTGAGGGGTTTAGTACCTGGTAAGATAAGTTGTTATCTGCAGGAAAACAACTTCATAAGAAAATTCAACTCCCAGACCATTGCACCCCTGTAACTCAGGTGAACCACAGAGATTGCAAATCCAAAATAATGTTCATGATTTATTTGGATGTAGAAATAAAATATAAAAGACATAATATTTTGGATTTATTCAAAAAAATGCTAGATTCATGATAAGATGAAAAAAATTCTAACATTTGTCTGCATAATTAACTTCAGAATTGAAAATTTCTTCCAGCAGCTAAAAGTGCCTACTCCTTCCAAACTTGAAGTTCTTCAATCATAACGAAGTACCAGCCAGCACATATCTTTCATACCTTTCTTTGAATTTTCATATAACTGGGATCAAAGGCTACATAGATCTGCTAGAAATGAACTGTCCAGTTTGTGCAATATTTGCATTCAAGGAATAAAAACATGGTGTTTGTGACGTCACGTGCACTGGGTTACATGAACTGCCAAAAAATGGTTGAGCACTTGACGATAATTTAATGACATTTAAAGCATTTTTGCGTCAAAAGGCAGACAATATATTAATTAACTGAAAACTTGAAATAAGATTTAATGCATCGTTCTCTGCATTATATCAAAACAGTTTTGCATGTCAGTTTTTTTAATAAAAATGCCTTGATCCACAGAACTTAGCTTATCTAATTTATTCAAAGAACATAACAGCGCTGACCTAAATATTATTACAACTCCAAGATCATCACAAGGGCAATAAATGTAATAACAATTTAAAATGACAAACACATTATATATCTATAGTTGTCCAATATACAAGGTTGACCAATCAGTACCACATGCCTCTGTTCACCAATCAAAGAAACACAAGCCATTTTAAACATTTATAATTCATGTGAACTGATTATAACCTGATTTTTCCCCTAGGGCTTCCTAACAACATTTTATGGCTCGTTAGGAATATTCGTTTATTAATTATATAGTTCTTTGCTATAAATAAAGAAAAATCGCCCTTATCAAATTCACAGAATCCTGAAAAACTTACACAAGGGTTAATTGGATTTTTGTAATCCAGTGATTTCTCCCATCTCTGTGTTTTTTGCAATGAATTTATTGCCTTTCAGGTGGTTTTGTTAAGGGGTTTGTTTTCTCTCTAAGACTCCAATTTTTTCTTTAGGCATGCTGCACTGATTGGACAACCATACCAATCTTGTGCTTGCGTTTTTCTAATTGGCCTTATTTCAATCCACAACTGGGTATACATTTTTCATCATGTTCTTTCCGATCCTTATTCTGATGTTTTATGCTCTGAGGGGTTTTAGCCAATATATATATTGTAAAATGTTTGCTTGTAAAATTTTCAAGTTCTGTACTGCCAAAAAATTGAACAGATATTATGTAGTAATGTATATATATATAAATTTATTGAAGCAATTCCATGATAAGCAAAATCAGTCAAACTTGTTACAAATTGCTTTATTTTGTACATCATTTTGCTATTCTACATATGAACTATCATAACAAACTTACTTTATTGCTTGATCCCTCTGTGCAGCCCTCACTTCAGGTTTCATGTTCCTTTTAGCTAAAATTGCATCCAAAGAAGCACCTTGAATTGACCTTTGGAATTTTACATTCCTTCTTGTTCTTTTTTTAGCAACCTCCTCTTGCTGTCCTTTCTTGTGCTTTTTACGATAGAGGACTGTCCAAGTAACTTTTCTTGGATTACGTTTCATGAGGAAGGACCTTTCACATTTCTTATTCAGGAAATTGAAAAGCTTGCCATCTGATCGTATGAACCTTTTACCATGGCCAGGGTACATTTTGTACCCACTGTAATTGCAGAGGTCGATCCTAATAAAAGAAAAGTCATAAGAAATAGCAAAATTCTTGTTAGCCAAAGCATACTTATAAGTAAACAACAACCTTAGAGACAGTCTGATTTTAAGCAACAATTCTTATTATTATATACTTACCTAAATATCTTTATGATTATCATGATATATACCAGTCTGAATTCCTTGACTTCTGCACAGGGGAAGTCCAATAAATAGTAAGGGGCCAGTCCCGTGCAAATCTAACTCCAACAGTATAGGGGCTAGGGGCTAGGGGCTAGGGGCTACAACCAAGAAATAATACTTAAGACCACCCCCTTTTTAGATTGGCATGGATTGCTTCTTTTTACTTTATACACTTAATCAATGATAATGTCACATGGCAAGGAATGCAGACTAGGATATATAAAGACCCAACTGAGGAGAAGCTGGTCAAGAAATTTATCTTTTTTGTTGTTCTCCTATTGCAAAAAGCAACTACTTCTCCCTACACAATAGTTAATCATTGGATGTAAGATATCAAACAGCTTGATTAACTCCATAAAAAAAGAGAAACTGGAATATTGCAAATAAAGTTTCGTATTAGCAGTTGTAAAAGATAATTTCAGCAATTAGGCTAGCTGTATATCCACCCCAGCTTTACTGCATTCCAAAACGGTAACAGCTTTAGAAAGCTTTAAGTTACAGAGGCATCATTTCTAAGCAGGCTTCCGCACTCGTGTTTTGAAATGAATTTTTTGCTTATAAAATTAATTCTAATCAAAGAATATCGAGTTTTATCAATAAACTAACATACATATCCTAAATAAATATCAATAATTTATACACATGTATGATGCAAGCTATGAATTACATTGTAGTGAGAACTGAAGGAAAAGTTTTGCATTTGCAAGCTTGAGATATTTAGGAAAATGATAAATGCACACTTGAAAATAATCTTAGAAGCTAGTTGCAAGCCTGAGAAAGGACATAATTTCAAATATAATGGTAGGTCTCTGTTCAGTAAAATACTCAAATGAATCCATAGCATCCTTTCGCGGCCATTCGCGAGAAAATACATCAATAAATTTCAATATAGTTCTGCGTTTTCCGCCCAGAAGTTTCTCTAAAAAGTGGCCTAATGTACAGGTTATAATCTAATTCCAACTATACCACTGGTCCATCAAAGAGAGCGATGTGAATCAGAAATAAAATGCATTTCACAAAACTTTTGGAATTTGTTGACATGTAAGAAACAAGATGCTTGAGATTTATACGGATAAAAAACGGAGCTTACTTCATCTTGCCGCTGTTGTTCGTCCACTTTCCTCGAAGAGAAAGTTATTGCGTCAGCCTCGCATCCAGAGTAGCAGCCGCATCATAACGAGAGAATAGTGTTACGTCATAAAAATCTAGTAACTGACTGACTTTCCCACATCACCTGAAGTGCAATTTTTTTAATTGGTCCAAATTAAGATACAGCATGTGAAATAATTGAGTTTTTTTAATGTCGTTCTAGTTTAGTTCAAAGATTTGAGAACCAAAATCATATTTAAGCGAATGTAAAAGATTCTGTTTTATGCGGTCAAATGTAACAAACAAGTTGAATTGTATAAGTAGGAAGCGACATTTAAATTGAAAATAAGAATACAGTAAAACAAGGACATACTGTCGTGTGTGCCTTCGCTTTCATGAAGAGGCAGTGGAAGGGGTGTGGGGGCTTGAGCCTCCCAATAAGTATTAAGACAATACAAAATAATTTTGCTTTTGGGCTTTTGGGCTTTTGCGTATTTGACCCCTTCCTAAACTCTTTATCCGCCGCCCCCCCCCCTCCATAATCCGTAGTATTCTCCGTGGTCTTTGCTTGCGTTTTTGAAAAGTGCACTGACTTTAATATTTTCTCCCCTTTTCAAGGTGATTGCTCAAAGTATACGAGGGGCACGATGTTGATAAAAATTGCCTTAACTATAAAACTTCATGCCTCGAGCTGTGGCCATTCGGAAGAATTTATAATATTGCGAGCATATGAGAAGAGTTTTCACAATGATTGAAACGCCTACAACTGTTTCAAGTTTTTTCCTACCCTGGGTACCAGAGCCACAACATTTTGAGCACGTAAACAGAATGCCAAGCAGCTCCTCCGCTTCTCCACTCCTATCTTGTGTTCCCATATCAAAATCTACCTCTGGTATTTTTTCCTGCTAGCATAATTGAAACATATGTACATCTGAAGACACAGGTTTTGGAAAAAACGAGAGCTAGCTGTCGATTTTTAAGCTTTATATTGGGAATAAGCTGTCTTATACATAATTAACAAAGACAGATTGTCAATAAAATAAGAGTAAATAGAAAAGTAGCATAGCTACCGCATTCACAATATTAACGTGCAATCTACAATTGTTTTGAAGTTTATTCTTCATTTGAGGTCTACACTGAATTTTCCCGGGCCCTTTTCCCCAGGTATCAAGAAGCGTCTTAGGTTACTTTCAAAACCATCTATGACTGGCAGCTTACGAACTTCAAGCAGTGTATCATTCCATAATTTGGCATCCGTGTAATTAAAGCCTTTTCGCAAATTCTATCCTATATCTGGGGTTTTTCACATTTCCCCGAATTGTCGAACAAATGGAAAGAACTCGGCTTGTATTTATCATATATGCTTTTCTGGCATAATCTGTTTATAATTTATTAAGTAACTTCCTATCGTGACGAACAAGATTTTCTACTTTTAACCGACAAGCTCTTTATTGTTACGTTTGCTACTGAGTACCAAGCCTGCTTTTGAAGGCGCTGGGGAGCAGCTAGTTTATGTACTCAAAAGGCTTCCCCAGATAATGAACACATAATAGACATTACATAGTTGCGATTGTGGATTGATATTTTTCGAATTTTGTAAAATCCTTTTTGATCCGTGTAAGACCTCCACTCGTTCTTCCTTTGGCGCGCTTGAATTCCACGGGCTCTGGCTTTTGAGTTGTGACAATTAAGAGAGCAGAATTGTCTTCTATTATCTGAGTAGGATTAAAACCAGTCCTCCTGCTTAGCATCTTCTTCCATTTACACATAAGATTTTATCAATACATCGTTATCGACTGTATCGAATGCTTGAGAAAAAAGTAAAATTGATATTACTGCGATCTATTTTTTTGTACAACAGGTATCTTCTACTAAAGGGCGACATTGTCATAGAGTATTTAGAAATATAGAAATACTTACGAAAAGCTGCTCGATTGCATGTGATACTCTAATCTATGTATGGGCTCCGACGCAGGTTGGAAAGTGGGTGGGCCAAGGGAAAATTTCACAATCATAACAAAAGATTTTGAAAAAAGCACTACTGTTTTGCAAAAAAGTGGGGACATATAATCAGAAAGCTTAGCCAATAAAAGAATTGAAACCTATGGTGCAAATCAAAGATGATATGCCGGTGTTTCTAAAATAGGGATCCCTTCGTTCGTAGTAACCAACATCACGCAAAGGCATGTTCGATGTAACCATAGCAACAAATGCAAGTTTGCAAATCAAGCGACATTAAGATAATGTCCCGCCAGCCAAGAGGGGCAGAACAGCTATATCATATCAAATCAACTGAATAAAAATACTATTTAGAAATAAATTTGCCCCCCCCCCTTTAAACTGACATGGTACTACAAGATCTAAGGCATTAATTTAACATAACGGCAATATTTATTAAACAACGGTCATGATATATATGCTACAAGATACTCTGCAATTAACTGTAGCGAGAAGTGTGTTTAAATCAATAGGGAAACGGGTCTCAAAACTAAACAGGTATGCATAAGAATACAACCTTTCGCACACAGATGAATTTACTTCGTTAAACATTAAACACGCTGGATTTCATTAACACGCTATCACAATGAATTAAGATAGATAGTTACTACCATAGTTAAAATGGAGACATTGATATGCATTAGTCTTTCATCAAAGAGAAAAGAAGAGAAAATGTAAGACATTATTTTTACTATCTAATTAATCACGTTTCTATTGTAACATTGACTGCAGTATCCATTTCTTTCTGGCCTACCGTACAGATCACATCCACTCCTTTTGCATAACGATGGCTGGTCATTTTCTACAATTTGGCTCCTACCTAGGCCAAGATATTGTCGATCCATATCTCCATACTGCCCGTACACAGAGGAATCTAGATAAAAAAGAAAGACTAGCGATCATTACCCAGTAACATAGCCACACTGACAATTTTAATTCGATGTTATTGTTTTCAATCGAGAAGGAATGACAGGAAAATAGTAGCCAGTATTCCAAGCACTAGCAAGGTTGAATATCTTTTACATCCGATTTGATGCCGAATCTCTTTTGAAAACGGTCCCGTCTGGTCCCGTCCTGCTCCCCTGTTTTCTGTCATCTTGAAAGCATTTCCCCTTAAAACTGTCATTTTCAATGTGAAATAGTTTTCGCTTTTTTAAAGTATCAATTCCTGTATTGTTAAAAAAACTCAGTCTAAAAGGAATTGAATTGAAAGTGTTTATTATGGTTAAAAGTAATCATTACTTTCAGCAAACAGAAAGCTAACAAGTAATGCTATTGGAAAGGGACAAATAGAATTTTAAGTTCTTCCAAAGCACTTAGCTACACTTTTAAGTTCATTGCTATAACATTTCTACTACAGTCTATGTAAAAGTAGGTATCTTACCTGAATCTAATAGACCTGTAGTCTCATTCTTTGTCTGTTCCAAAAAGCATTTGGAGCAGTAAGGACCGAATTCACCACTAGCATAAAATTCGCAGAAAGATTTCACACACATTCGATTTTGCCTTTGAGGGTGCCTTATGTTCTCAGACACTCTTTGCTGTCTAACAGGGTCTCTTGCATGAATCGGTGGAGGTCTGTCAGCATTCTCTGGTGATGCTTCTCGGTTTCTTCCACCACTCAAAGGTTCACGGCTTGGGGGCTCTCTCCCCACCTGTCCTGAACAGCGTCCACAGTATCCTTGCCCTGTGGATTCACTCAAGTAGGGACAGCCTCTCGTTTTACATGGCTTCGGATTCAGATATGGGCTGTCTGATGGGAGCTTGTCATTCTAAAAAGCAACAATTTAAAAGCAAAAAGCGAAAATTAACAGGAAAAACATATTTCAGCCTTAAAGCATATCATTTGATCTTATTTTCTACCACACCAACAGCAAAGCGAAATCGATGCAAACACAACGTCTTAGAAAGATTGATTGTTCTTTTATTAACATCTAGTCATTCGAGGAATATGGTTGAAAAAATCTGTATATCAGGGTGTCAGAACATTCTAGAGTAAACTCATTTCAAATTTGAATGAGAAATTATGATTTCTGCTCTCATTAGAGAAAAAAGGACCACTTAGCAAGTTATAAGCCTGGTCAGGGCTTGTGAACCTGGAAAAGTTTGATCCAGGTTCTACTATGCTGAGCCTGAGCCTGGCCTGACACACTAGGGCAAATGTGAACAATGGTAGAATCTGGGACACAATCATTGTTTAAAATAGGCAGAAGGATTTGATGTCAGAAATGGTGCGTTCCTGATGCTAGAGATGTATTCTGCCTTGAAGCAAAGATCATTTCATTCTTTCAAAATAAAGCTTTTTGAACTTTTTCTTAGCTTTGAAAGGTTGTGGGTAATACCCAAACCAAAGTGAAGACAAATCCTAACAGGACTTAGACAAGAGACATAAATACCTATCTCACATCATATTTGATAATTAGCACACTTACTGTAACCATGAAATACTGAGCAATGATGAACTAATAATCATACATACATTGACAAAATTGCTGTTTCATCTGCAGTAACTCGGATCTATGCAACATTAGTATCATCATAAATTTCTTTAACAATAGGATGTAACGATACAAATTGATTCATAAAATCCACGATTGATTGGGGGATGTTTACATCAATTAATAATTCATGCACCTTCATTGAAAGGGTAACTCTTTTGACATTATCCTTCTTTGTTAAAAAACAATTAACTGAAAATACCTACCCTTGTCTTTTCAGCCACTTTTCTTCTTTCTTCATTTGCTTCTAGAATCTGACGTTCTTCTCTAACAGCCTTCTGATAGCAGTCGTCACACAGGTTGTTGTAGGCAACTTTTCCAGGATTTGTACAACCACCTGCAATACATTTTCTCTGTGGTGGTCCTACTTCAGCCATCGAGTATAGGCCGGCCTCATATCCATGATTTACAATGCCTGTATCTGAAGAGGGTGGCTGCATAGCTAGGCCGGATGGGTTAGGCATGTTAACATACTGAGGCCGTTCCAAGGAGAACATTCTTTGAGACATCTGTTGATCTGTAGTGGATTTGAATAGTCCATTTTGATTTGAAGGTACTTGTTTCTCAGTTGCTTGTGGCATATGTACCATTCTGTCTCCAAAACACAAATTTCTTTGAGACACTGTGTTACCACCTGCTTCTAAAGAGAACTGGTCATTTCTGGCCATTTCATTGCTGTCTCTTTCTTTAGTAGGTGCCAAGAAGCAGGGACGACAATAATACATTAATTCAGGTTGACCTTGCCTTTTACAGCCAAATGTTCGGCACTCCTGACTTTTATGTTCTGCCTGAGTAATCTGGATTTTCAAGTCAAAACATTCATTACATAAGTCCTGCTTTCCTGGGGCAGCAAAATGTTCACAGTGTGTTTCCCTACATATACCAGTTTTTTCTGGCAACCTACTTCCAGCTGTGCTTTGCCAATTAGGCATTTCAGCTGCTTCATAAGATATACGTGAAGAAACTGTAGGAACAAAGCCACTGGGGACTTTGCTGAAAGACGGATAAATTGTTGGTGCCTGAAATTCATTTGAAAGCCTTCTATCTTGAGAAACTGCAATCTCTTCTTGTTTTTTCAAGCACTCGCCACAGAGAAGACGTTCATTGTCAATAGCTTTGTTGTTGCATGTATCTATGATGCAGCCTTGTGGAACCTGTTCATTTAAATGTATCCTACATTTACCAGTGCCCGAAACAATTTCTTCCTGGCAGCCAGGACTCTCGCACAACATTTTGAAAGTATCTTTGCATTCTGGATATGAAGGGCTAGGGCTTTTGCCCTCCTTCTGTTCTTCGGTACCATAACCGTCTTCTTTTTGCACTTGAACCTTGAACCTTGTATGGAAGCATTCTCTACACAAATCATAAGTATTGCTGCTTCCCTTGTTAGTGCAGCCAGTTATTATACATTTCTTAAAATGACTCCCTGGTGGTGAAACTTGTCTATACAATTTTTTGTGGTTCTCTGCATCTATTTTGATTTTAGCTGGAATTAAATGAACTTCTGATTTTTCCTGCATTTTACTGATAGGTGCTGATGACTCATTCCCAAGTACAAAAACATCATAGCATCCTTCACAAAGGTTGTTTAACCTCTCTTCTCCAGCATTAAGACAACCAACTTTATGTCTTATGCATGGGTTTCTCGGAACTTTGTCAACTCGCACAAAAGAACTCTGCATCTTAGCAGAGCCTGTCCTTGTAAGTTCCTTTTTGCCTATAAATGGTTCTGTGCTTTGTGGAGATGTGTCTTGAGGATTGAATATAAAAGCAGCATTGTTAGGAGTTGCATTTGGTTTTCTCTCCATTTGATCAAAAGAAGAATTGGCTGGTACAAAGGAAGAAAATGTCTCTTGTGCTTTGGAAAACAAACTCCACATTAACTCAATTGACCAGGCAGGAGGTGACTTGAATTTTATCAAGGCAGCTGGTTGTAGATTCTGATTAATTTGAATGTTGAAACAGTCTAAGTATGTGTTTAATAGATCATTGTCCGACTCTGCTGGCATGGTAAATTTAACTGGAAGAACACTGACGTTTTTGTGCACCAAAGGCACACAATGCTGTGCATCTGGATGAATCTGCCTCTTTGAAAGAACCATTTCTTGGTCTTCCCCACTCAAAAGAGGCATAAAATGATCATGATTATACCCAATGATGACAGGTGACTTCTCACACTCTGTTGCGTTTCTAAGTAATGGGAGATAGATACCACTAATATTATTTGGCTGTAATGATTTTCCTTGTAATCCATGATATGTTGTTTCACTCAACACAATTATCGGCCTGGCTAAAATGTTACTCAAGGCAAAAATATGAATGTCTTCAAGTGGAAAGTACTTCAACCCCTGATTTCCCCTTGGGAATTCAACATCTGAAGCAGCAAACACAACATAGTCCCAATCTTTTCTTACTTCTCCTGATTCAAAATCAATTTGCAGTCCTCTTAATGGCCTTTCTTGTTCATGTTTCCATCGAAGATACATTTTTCCTAAAAAAATATTGCATGACACATATGTCAAGAGTACAAGTGAACTAACTACTTAATAAGCAGGGACTTGTAAATGTAAAGACAAACTTTTGGCACTGGCTTTTTTAGGGCTGGCTAACACTTGCCCTTTGCTCCCCATAAAATTTAAAAGAGCTGTAAATTGCTTTCATAATTTGAAAATGGAAAAACAAATAACCAGGTCTATGGGGGGGGGGGGGTAATATTTTTGACAACTGGTATTCTTAATGGTGAGTTCCTATGATTCAAAAGTTGCCTTTACATGGGTATTCCTTGTGGTAAATGGGTGCTGCCTTTGGTGAAAAGAAAAATTCACTGTTAGTAAAGAGTATTTTCTGAAAATAAAAAAGGCATGGCTTTGATTTTGCTCGCAAATCTTGGTGGCTGGTGCTGCAACTGGGGCAAAAGACCCTAAAGATTTTGGCAACCATTCCAGGGAAGGGCCCATTACAGTCTTAAGAGAGAATTAGAACGATTTGATCTAATTGTTGGAGTCTTTGAATAAATGTTTATGCGGCTATTAGGATAGAATCCTTATTATCAACGCTGTGTTTATATATTCCATAAAAATTCTTAAACCAGTTACCCTCAAATCTATCTTCTGCATCCATCCTTTTATAAAGAAATCTTCTGAGATTCAGGTTTCTGTCATGGACCCCCCAGATATAAACTGACACTGAATGAAGGAGACAATTTCCATCTGAATCAACACTCATTGGCAAAAGCGACCTTGCCTGAGGGTACCAGTTGATTATTCCTTTGTCCTCTAAATCTCTCAATGCTGGTGTATCAGCGACCAGTTGCAAAGTATAACTAGGTAGACGAGGGTTTACAGCTTGCATTTTGCTCATGGTTGGAATGATCATTGATGATTTTGTAACTTCTCTTCTCAAATTAACCCCTTGGTCAAAAGCCTTTTCTTGGTTCACAATATACTCATGGATTCGTTTTGTTGCATGTAAGTTGCTTGATGAAAAGGAGCGAACTCTTCTTGGGCATGGGTTGGCAGCCATTTTCTCGACTTCTGGAAGTTAGGCCTTCAAAGATAACAAACATAATTTCATATATAAAATAAAATTAAAGCAAATAACAATTTTCAAGATAACAACTTTCTTGAAGCTTGGATGTGCGTAAAATGTAAATTTCTTTTCTCAAATGTGATTTCCATAACGTCTCAGTACGCAGTTTTTGTCTATAACATTATAAGATGAAGAAAATTTATACAAAAAATACATCTCTTGTTTTTTAATCTGTATTTCATGCCTGTTCTAGAAAACCTCATGAAATTGTCCTAGATGTACATTTATTAGAGGTATTAAATATTTAGTTCCAACTTACTTCCCGGTGCAAAATTCACAACTTTTTATAATATTGCGTATTTTAGGTTCTCATGACAATCCTATCCAAAAGTAGTATATATATAAACATTACGTCATCGTCTTAAATATGCGTTTGTTGTATTTCCCTACGCGAGCTGATGTGACCTCTTCGATTTCTCTTTAAATGAATAATTTGGCTAAGATTTATCGTAATGAATAATCTTTTTTCTTGAATTTTCTTCAAAACATTGACGAATCAACTTCCATATAGGCACCACCAACATAGGCCGTCCGAAAAGGCAGCTGGGTGGAATAGTAGAATCGATTAAACCGAAATTGATAATCTTCATCTCACCTGTGCTTGATCACATTTTTGCTTCTCTTGATGTACTCTTGTTTTTCTGTAAATGGTAATTTTCTTTGCAGAGCGATTTTGCCCTCTTTTGTTGCATGAAGTTCGTTGAGTTTTGAAAGATGATGTGAACGACAATGCCAAGGGGATGTCCAAAAGCAATGAGGATTCCAGGTTTCGAAACTAAGGGGATTTCCACAGGGGAAATCCTTTGCCGTGCCCTGCTTTCATTACCATGCCTCCTGTGCTCCCCCGCATGAATGAAAGGTCCGCACATTTTACAGAAATTTTTAAAACTGGAGGGGCAATTTTCTTTATTCTCTATTATAGGGAATACTCTACTTTTCTTTTTCTCTGAAATATATTTTTTGGAAATTTTGGATTTTGAGCATTTACATAACCTGAGAACAAACTCTTACCATATGATCAGAAAAAATCCAGAATTATTATACTATTACCATAGGCGTAGACTTTCATTTTTTTCAGGGGGGGGGGGCTCAAAAAATTAATGACAATTCCTAATGGCAGCTGCTGGTGTCACAGGATAGAAAATGGACTAGCTAAGGGCTTAAAGGCGATTTTTTGTGTGCATTTTTCATTATCAAGGAAGAAGAAACACACATGAGATGATAAAAAGATATTTTTAAATCATAATCAGTTTCTTTAGGTTGAGATCATCAGTTCTATTTAGGCACCGAGAATGTTTATGCGTGGAACCAATAATATAACAAACTAATCTAAAAATTGGTGAAGCACTTCCTTTTTTCCAGGGGGGGGGCTCAGCCCCCCCTCGGTTTTCCTCAGGAGGGGCTGAAGCCCTAGAGCCCCCTAAGTTTACGCCTATGACTATTACCATCAGTATTATACTATTTTTATAAGAATAATGTCTGTTGAATATTGACTATATATTACAGACACCATTACAAGGCACGAACTTTAGAAGTTTTATGACTGCAACTAGTATGCGGGGTTCGGCGTAATATGACAAAAGACGTCCAAAATGAAAAAACGAGTTCTATAGTTAGCGTGAAAATATATCGTAAATAAAACCAATTGAGTGACTTACGCAACCCGATAATACAATAAATGATTTGTAATTGATAAAAAAAACCCTTCGTTGAGTTTCGAATGCGGACACAACTCCCTGCGTGACCGCTCCGCGTAGCAAGGGCAGATTTGGTAACAATAGGATATTTGGTAACTCCGTGTACGTTCGATTCTCGACTCCCTCTCGCCGACTGACCACAGGGGTCCGAAGTAATAAAAAAAGATAACAAAATCCAACACTGTCTATATGAATATTCAGGATCAGAATCATCCGGGTTTTAAAAATATTTTAAAAACATTGCTCAGCCACCAGCCTCAGCTTTAAATGGAGAAATAATACTACAATTTAGCTGTTCCCTGCGACAGTAAATAGCCTTTAATTTTTGGTAACAGAAAAAATGATGTCCTTGATTCTTGAAAACAGTTTTTGCACAGCCTTGACAAAAAAATTTTTTCAAACAATTGTTTTCTAGAGGGTGTTTTATTATTTCTTGGGGACTCAGAAGGGCGTGGTCATACAAGTCTCCTATCTGGTGTTGTCTCTTCAAGCTCCTTTAGGTCCTAATTTCGTGTACCACTCCGTGAGGGTGAGCACTTAGAATGCACCGCACTCACAGCACAGCGCAACGTTAGAAAACAAAGAAGAAGAAAATAGAGCATTTCCAAGAGAGTTTGCCGTATCATCGTGGATGACCATCGCTAATTATTTACAATGTAGTGTCTAGGAAAATGACAATAACGCAATCGGTGTGGCAAATTTTATATGTGGATTAAAATTGATGCTTTAGTTACCTAAAACCATATTTATGATCTCAATATATGATTGATCCTAAAGCCAATGGCTCACAGAATAGATCAGTTAATTTAAGCTCCTACATCGTAAAATAATACATAGAAAATGCGTAGAAGAACTCAGAATGCCTATCACATTCACATTACATTGCTAAGTCCTATGGGCAGTTTGGCGGCATAAAAAGATGCCATGTCAACGATTCTATACTAGAAACAAAAGAGAAAACGAATTTATGAGAATTCCCGTTGTTAATCGTCTTGACATCTGTATTATGGGACCCTTTCAAAGCAACACTGTAACTTAAGTAATGAAAAACATCGGCAACCGAAGATGAAATGCTCGCTTCGTACTTTATCTAAAGAATCAACAATAGAGACAAAATACAAAACGTCAATATTGCTACATCCGTCTCCTTTTCGAATACAGTTGAAAAGTTGTAAGTCTTTAAACAGTGTTGCAAAATTTTTCTAATTGAAAGCTAAAAAATTTATTAATGTTCTGGAATGTCCACTATTACACGAATGAAAACTGTATCATCAATCAAATAATTGTTCTTCTCTAGATCCTCGTGCACGATAAAATCATCGAATCCAACGATGACTGATTTGTCCTCTTTCTTTGGTCGGTCAATTCCACCGTGTTTCACACTTAGATCTCGCACACGAATATGATGACGTCGCTGCGATGAGTCGGCCGTTTGATCCAAAAGCATAAAGGTGTAGGTGGGTTTTATTGGCCAAACGAGCACTGGATCAAATTCGCCACACATTACCCGCACATATATCGATACGCTATTTGAGGCACCTTTTCCCCGGCCGTTCAAGTAGACCCAAACTGAAACACGGTAACCGTATGGGCCAGTTGTAAACGGATCACTAATAAAAGGGTCCTCGTTAGCGCCAGACTGGATTTTCCTCAGCTTTCGAGAGAAAGCATTAATTCGCCAAACTAACTCAGCGCGTTGATGGGTCGACCGATGTAGCAGGGAATTCAAAGACGATCCTGGCGAGTCCTCCGAGTTCAGCCTTTTGCGCTCGTGGTCGTTCTTCTTCACAAATAAAGGAGAAACATTCATGGGACTGGTCTTATCGTTGCCTTGCGCCTTGCCCAGTTCTATCTTACTCTTAATTCCGTGTATTTGCAACCTCAGTTCATCATTAACCTGAGCTTGATACTCTCGCTGCAACTCCAACTTGTCAGAGACGTTCTTACCCTCGCCTACCCGTTCATCTTTGTCTTGATCGTAACGCACCCTAAGACTTTCAAAATCTTTAGCTAAGTTATCTAGCTTCTGGTGTATCAACGCTCTTTCTGATTCCTCCTGCTTAAGGCGGTCTCTGTAGCCAACAATCAAGCCATTTTGCTCCTTTATCACTTTACATGCAAGAAACAAGTGCGTTTCCAAATCATTTCGCATATGATCTTCTAACAGCTTCCTTGTGCCCTGACAGAGAATAGAAATTTGTTGGTTAAACATTAAAGTTGTTTGATGGATATGTACGCATCTCCATTTCTGTGAAATTGTCAATGCTAGAAATGACAAAAGCCGATCGAATTCCAAAATGGTCTGGGCCCAATTAGAAGACGACGAAATTTTAAAGAAAAACAAAACAGAGAGCAACGAGAAAAATTTACAAAGAAACTTTCGTCACACCCATGTTTTTGTTAATCAAAAGAGATTCTAACTTTACCAGTCATTAGGCACTATCAGGTAAAAATACAGAGATCTATCAAGTGGGGTCCTCTTTGTGTACGAAGAATGAGTAAACTATGTGGTGGGTCGAGGGGAACGCATAAATATAAATATATATATATATTTTATTTCTAAGATGCTGTACTCACGATCAATGAATAATAGACACCAGCCCCTACTTTCAAAGAACAGTAAATTTTGTAGAGAAATTTAGAGAAGTGGACAGCATTTACTGATGTTCTTGTTTAAGACCTTCCTTGTTTAACACCTTATAACTTACAAAACAACAAGCATTCGCACGGCCCAGAGCTGACTGTCTGACTGTGGGAAATTTATTTCGCAGCAAGCCTTCCCCTACATGCAAGGCAGAAATTCGCAGTTTAATGTTCGGAAGAGTTTGATGTATAACAAAGCCTAAAAAGGCAATTTCTGAAGAAAATATCACTTTCCTCTTTCGATTTTTACTCTGGTTAATTTTATGTTTCTTCTTTTGAATCCAATTCTGCGGAACGTACTCAATTACAGAGCTGTGAAATGGTCTGCTGGGCTTGTTTTCTGGAAATATTTCAACACAAAACTGCAGTTACAAAATTTTAGGAGAGACTTTCTATCCTTAGCAACGCTAGATGACACGCCGTAAATTTTATTGTAGGGAACCGGCTCCTTGTTTCCGTAACACCCGCCTAGGACCTTGCTCAATATATGTTTACAAATTACCAATTTGTTTGCCTAACCCTGAAAGAACGACGTAGAAACCAACGATTTCACAGTCGCTTTGGTATTCTAGTGTAACATCTATCTACGCCAACCAACAATACTCACTACTACAATTCTACTCTGGCTTCATATTGTTTGTATTTTGAAATTTCTAGATAACATGTCACCATGACCAGGCATTAACTAATTCGCAATTTCAGTAACAAATGTTCTAGAATTCCCACCATAAAAACTTCTCGTCTTCAATGATTATGTCAAATAATGGCCTACCTTTGATCTCATTTCAAATAAATATTTGATTTCTATGAATACCATAATTTCAATTTATTGAAGCTGTTTTAGTTATGACGAAGAGGTACTTACAGCTAGGTACGGTTTTAATGTCCAAAAAGAATTGCGACACGTTTCAGGAGAAGATTTGGAAAATGAGTCTGTTTTTAAAAAGATCATATGAATGATTGCTGTTGAGAAACATAACAATCAATGTTTTGAGTTTCAAAATTCACAATCGAGTAACCAGGAAACTGTGCAACAAGTATTGTATCAACCATGTCTTAGAGAAAGAAAATGTTATTTGATATTTCCAAGGGAAAGGATGTGTAGAACAAGTAATAGAAAAGCTCTGTTGGAAAATAAGTTCAAAGAACTGACCAGGGAAAGGAAAAGGAAGAAAGTTGTATAGAGGGGATTCACAAAGCGTTTGGTGACCCAGCATTTAATCCCGTTCGAAACCTGGCGGGAATCTGAACTCACCCCTACGAAAGATGTTGTGTCGATAAAAAGGCCTTCAGATTAAGGCATATCACGTGACCAAAATGCCTCAATTATTACATGATTTTATTATTTGTCAAAACGAAATGACGTCATTTTCTTGCACGTCACTAATTGGAATAATCTTCCGCATGATTGTATACATGACTGTCCCTTTTCTAGCACCAGGGTTTTTTGTGTCTGTTCATAACCAGGACATTCAGTGCCTCACAAATTTCTCTTCAAAACAGCATCAGGACATCAGTGCTTTCTTATTTTTACAAACACAATTCTGCTTTCAACCCCACAGTGAGTCCATGCGTCATTCAAAGCCACCCCGTTTGTAAGTTCTGGTGAATTTCGATTTAAACCCCTTGTTTATTAGAGATTTAGAGAAAAGATACAGACAATATTTCAGTGTATCAAAGAACGACCAGAAAGAGACTGAAAACCGGATCTCAACAATAAGATGTCCGATCTATGGCAGAAAGGGGGAGGGGTTCCTAAATTCTGATTTGGCTGCAGGGGCGTCGTGGCTGGGGGGCAGGAGGCACGTGCCCCCCTGTCATCGAACATTCGGCAATTTGTCGGAAATTCTGTATCTGTTTGGCAAAAGAAAATTTGTAGTTCTTAGGCAAGCAAGAAAGTTCAAAGGAACTAAAGGAAGACAAAGTAGAAGAAGGAAGATAAAAACAGAACAATTTTTCAGACAGCAAAACTAGAGGTTTTTTGTTTTTTACAGTCTGCCTATCCAGGTCTGTACATTTTTACTGGAAATGGCAAGCTTTCCAATCAGTAAACGAAATGCCTGTGTTCATTTTTGAAGCTCAAGTGTGTAAAAAACAGGCTGGCCAACAACAATGGGCCAAGAGACAGTAAAAAAATGTTGAGCTTGACTTATTTGACACTCAGTTATGACGAAGTAATCGGCAAGTTTGGTGACACACCATTGCTAAGGGAAATTTCCAAGCACAGAAAGTCGTTCATTTCTTTTTGTAAGAATCTTGAGATATTAAGTATTAGTCCTATTGTGATTTTTACTGTTCATCACAGATGCTGATTACAAATAACCATGATTATCCAATGTTGGAAAATGGATGCTGGTTTTTCTCTAATCGATGCTGCAAAAGTGATGTATTTTTTGCATTTAAAATTCTGCGCATGCGCTTAATGGCGTCATAGTTTCAATTTAGACCGGTTGTCGGAAAATTTACAAGCTGTGCCCCCTTCTAAGAGCCACTACCCACGACGCCCCTGTTGGGCTGTGAATCCCTTTCTATTCAGCAAACAGGTCGCTGCCAATGATGGAATAGACAAAGGCAGGTTGCAGATCAACAAAGATTCATCTACGCTAACATCATAATCCATCTATTAAACCAATTCGAACCTGAAATGTTTGTGGCTCCCACAATACATTGAGCTTCCTACGAATCTAACGTAAAACCACGGTTTCACATGGTCTAATCGTGAAATTGAAAGCGCCATTGTCGACAGGAGTTTCTCCCAAGCAACAACTTTGTCAACACTCTATGATGGTCCTGCGATCAATGCCGGGTGCGTCAACTTACCACAAAATCTCAAAGCTTTTGTTTCCAACTTCCTTCCTAAGCTAGGCCATGTTCAGGCTCGCTGACTACTCTGGAATACGAGCCGCAATCTGATACAGCGACCTTTCTCCTGCCTTTTATCGGTTTGTAATTATGTATCCAGTGCTGGAGGCTGTGCTTAGTGATTTCCTTTCGACAAGAGCTTGGTAAACAAAACTCAAGCAAGAGCACCTAGAACCATCGGACAACTTTTGCAAACACGACACAATTGCTCTTTTGTCATAGATAATCTTGAAAATCAAATGGTGATAATGGGGATCAGTCGCGCGGTCTGGGTCAAATTAAACTAAGGACAGTCTGTCGCCCTTTACCTCTGCGGAGTCAGCTCATCGTCTACCATATATATGTTCAAAGACTGACATAAGAGAATATCTCGAATAAGGTATAAACCCATTTTCAGTGGTACAAATAAGAAAATGTTTAGTTTTATCAAGCCAAGGTCTTCTTAAAGTCAAATCCTTAACAAAGCTAATCAAGTCTTTCAAGGATGTAGCGTTAAGAAGCCACATGATTATTGCTAACAATTCTAAGTAACGTAAATTTATTGCCAAATAAAAGCACAATACCAATTCCCGTCCAAAAGACACGCAAATGCGATTTATTTATTAGATTTGATGTAAGCTGAATGACAGAAAACTGGCGCATAATACGATATGAATAACAAATCTTTGGCCTGGCCATGTGGCTAGGCTAATAAGAAAACACAAGCTCGCATATCATTGGTGCTTGTTTAGGATGGAGGCCGATAGATAACTAGAAAAACATTTGATACCTCTTTCCCCCTTCTAAAACAAGTTATACCATTGTTAAAAAGGGGTCATTGCCCCCAACAACCTAGCCAATTAACACGGTCGCTGCAAGTTTGGCAATCTTCTCAGCTAGATGCTCCTCCGCTTCTCTGCATGGCATTCTGTTTACGCGCTTGAAATTTTGTGGCTCTGGTACCCGGGGTACATCTCATGGGAGAAAAAGTATCAGCTTACCCTACCGTAAATATTCAAATTCGACCCCCTTGCATAAGCCACGTTCGAACAAGCCCCCCCCCCTGGAGGTTCAACATTATTAATAAACCCTAAACCTTTGAGTAAGCCCCCACCCAAACATGCGTTTGCCTATACTGCTGTCTAAGATTGTAAATAAGCGAAAAATAGTTTGAATTCTGAAAATCAGGCAGATCCATGAGAATTATGGTCTAATTTCGAAACTTTGAACCGCCCTTTCAAAGGACGTAAATGCTAAGGTAAGAATTCTTTTGAAAAGATGTAATTAGCAAGTACAGAATGATTAAATTTCATTAACAATTTCAAGAATGACTTCATTCTTTTATTCAGATTTCACTTATAGTAACTATTCTTGGATTTGTCACGTATCTAGAATCTAGAAAGTCTTCCGATGTATCAAAGAAGAATCCTCATTGCTACGGTCCTGCCAATTCCCAGGGCCGTCGTTAGCGAGGGGGGGACAAGGGGCCTTTGCTTAGATGACGTGTCTTATTACTTTGATGGTTGTGTGACTGCATCTCAAGAACTTCCAAATTTGAAGCTACCGCATAATTATCACGGTACCATTAATGCAAAAATAAAGTAATCCATTTAGATACCTTGAAAGCGCAGCCTCCTTGATGCAACGGGCACAGTACAATGTCCTTGTCATCGCTCATCCTACCTCTTCCAGTATGATTCTATAAACATATACGAACAAAGGTAAACAAGAAGAAAAAGAAGCAAAGGAAGAAAGGAAAATAACATCACATGTACTTACTAACATTTAATTTTAAAAACGTCGTTCCGTTCACTGAAAGAACAGCCATATCAAATTGCTAGTCTACCACATGAAATACGAACACGAATGAGAACTCTCATCGAACCGAAGTAATTCAAGCGCCTAGGAAGCTTGCATATAGGCAAAAATGTATAGCGATTTAATGGGAAGGCAGACTGTGTACACAGAGGTCAACGTGTGCCTTAGGGACGCTACGGAGGCTTCATACACAGAGCCTACAGGCTGCGACAATTACTCCTCTTACACGAATTTCTTGATAAGCAATTTAATCCATTTATCAGCATCCAGATAATCAAACGGTCAAAAAATTTGGAAACACGAGTGCTGGACACCAAGAGAAAATTTTCGGTGCTGAAATACGAGACAAGTGAACACAGAAACAGGGGCATCACTTCATACTTTTTGTTGGGGGCGGGGCTGCATATTTGCCCTGCAGAAAAAATGTTGCCCTGGCAAAAGTTGGAAATGTTGGGAACTGGCCCTCAAGTTCCCGTAACACTAAAATACTTTTTAAGGTAAGTTGTTCCCGCAAAGGTCCTTGCTCAGTGTGTCCAATTTTTCGCCACGAATTTTTTAGCTGTGAATTTTTTAGCTGTGAATTTTTCTCTCGAATTCGAAGTTCAATTTACACTGGCAGAAATTTTTATGCAGATTCGCTGCGAGTATTACAAAAAAATATAGCCACTGTCCGAAGAGTGCTCTTATCAGAAAGTTTTAAATTTTAAATTTATCAAAAAAGCGAGCAAAACAGCAAAAAGCGATACTGGATTAGAAAAAATTATTCAGGACGTCTTCAGAAGGGGGAATTCCATCTTTCGGTAAGAGAGATTTAAGTTTACATTTATAAGACCAGGATAACTTCTTCAAATACTTTCAAAGGTCGCCATCGAAGCTTGATGAAACTTTCAAGCCAGTTTTCGCGGCGAAAAATTCGCTTCGCACGAATAAATTCGTCTCGTGTAAATCAGGCTTAACCTTGGGGTCGGGGAGACGAGCAGGAGAAAGTTTTTTGAAGAGTGAGGCAACCCTCCATCCTGGATTCAAAGAGCATGCGCTCGTTTTTTACAACACACTTTCGATATCAAAGCTTTTCTCTATCCCATCAAAACCATTATGGGGAAACTACCCTGCTGCATATAAAATACAACAGATAGTGATTTCTATTCTCAAACATAATTACATTGCCTTTACTCTCTCTTTTTATAAGAACAATTTTCTAAGAACACAAGCTTTAAAAGGGGTCAAAAGTCGAAAACAAATTAAGAACAAGCTGAGGCTGAGCTACTGTAGAATGTAACTTTGAACACTGAACTCAAAAACGAGGATTTTTTTTGCAATCTTGGGGTGCTTTTTCGGTGAATCTTCAAATATGGCGGCAAATGAAGGTTTTCTCACGCACTTTGTTAGCAAATGAGGCCTGGACACCTCCCTAGAGCGAAAAGCTAGCAATCGCGCTGCTCATACCCTACAATTTTAAGAACAAATTAAGAACAATTCAGCCTCAGATTTTCGAAAAAATTAAGAACCACCAGCCTGAACTTCAATTTACTGGCACTTATAAAGAAGAATGTAATTGTAAATTTTATTAACCCCCCTTAAGGCACCGCAATGGGGAACCCTTTGCCAACATATCCCAACCCTTTGACAACATATTTATTAACCCTTTGAAATTATGCCAACATATTCGTGACAACAATAGAATAACATATCTTGAGCAATGCGCTGATGGGGGTGTAGTCGAATATTTTGGAAAAGATTTATCGATGACATAATCTTCATCTGGCAAACACAAACTTGAAAACCTACAGGAGTATATACAATACACCCTATATCATCAACAAAAAATAGATATAGTCGACTCCTTTCTCAAATCACGCTTCTGGTTACAGTCAAGAAAGTTTAGACCCAATTATGCAAAACTATTCCATCAAATTTTGACCCAAAAAGCCCCGTTTACAGTGTCTTAGTTTTCTGGCAAACGGTGCTTGTCTTTCTAGTATATGGTTTTTAAATAAGACACAAATATCAACCAAGGGTGTAACCATAGAAATGGGTGTAACACATCAGAATCAATTTTATCCAATCCATCCAGCCCAAGATCACGCTGGCAATTTCTACTTCGTGTCACTGGTAGTTTGTATCATTTTACTTTTGGAGTAGACAAATTACAAGCAAAACCTAACTTTTTGTTACATTACAGTTACATAAGAAAAACAAAACAGATCCGTTGGTAGAAAACATTTGCCCTGTAAAAATCCGTTTTGCCCTGCGAAAAGGTCCTACTTTCGTGGTTGGGGGTGAACCACTATCCCCCATATACCCCCCTCAAGTGACGCCCCTGCAAAGAAACAGGGTCCCTGACATAGAGTTTTTAAAAGATGCAGAACACAGAAACAGGGGCTAGTGAACCCTATCACTTTTTTGAAAAACAATAGAGTTTTTTTCAAAACCTTTTTCCAGAATCAATAGTCACATATGTTGAAATCCAATGACGCTAAAATTAAGAAACATTATAAATGGGCTGGTTGTAAAACTTTGATTGTCCGCTTAGTCTATTGTTGCAGAAACATTTCGAATGCGTAAAAAAACGCGTCCTTTATGAAGGCATAAAATAAGCGTAACATTCTCGTCCTGACAATGGGCAAAAGTCAGTATCGTATAAGTTGCCATCGGTTTTTGAAGTTTTTCATCGTCTCTTTAAAAAGAAAATTCCAGCAAAAAAGGAGATTTCTCTATTTTTTTCAAATTTCTAATTGAAATTAACATAATGAGAGTGGCTAAACTAGCCATCAGTTCTTCATCAATTCAGCGAGATCCTTTAATCTTTTCTTTGGACTTAATATTTAAAAGCACTGCTTGCCCACTCTGCCCCTTCTGGGAGTGGACAGAAGGGGCAGCTGCCCCTGCAGCCCCTCCAGGATTGGCACCCCTGCATGCCTCTATACCTAATGAAAAACCAAGGAATTACTTTTTAAAGGCTTCCTAACGATAAAATCTTTAACGATAAATAGAATTTGTGTCTCTATATCAAATGAAAAACTAGCGGGATTCTCAGAAGAAAAATATTTATTATGCAAAGAAACCAAAACAAAACTTCCAGTTCCCCAAAATCGATATTTGCTAAGATATATATACACTCTAGTGCTTATCTAGACATCGAGTGGCTTACAAAAAATATTTTATTTTGTGAACATTCAGTGTGTTGTTATGATGACTGAGACATGATAATTCACATTCCAACACACGTTGCATTTGCATATACCGAATTAAAGTCCCTGCATGTTTCAGACGTACTTGGATATATTACCATCTAGAATATCTTAAAAAAGTTGTGAATCTGTAACCAACAAAAAATCTATTTCTGAATTAAGGAATCTGTTTAATTTTTCAATAAAGGAACGTAACCCCCTCTCTAAAATGTAATGGAATTTCTTATTAATAGACTTGGCTATAGAAACTAAAACAAAATGACCTTCCGCATACGCAACGCAGACTAAATCTAAGGAAGAGGAAACTGCAAGTCTACACCTACCGAACCATAGTACGTAATGTAGCAAAAAAGGAACTACGACGTAATCCATGAACATAACCGAGGGGCAAATCACTTAATGAAAATTTCGTACACTTTTAGTGGAAATCCAATTGTTTTGTCAGGAAATCCCTGGAAATCCTTTTGTTTTCGTGGAAATCTCGTACGATGTTTGCAAGAGTGAACTGTTCCGTGGACCTACAAATAGTATTACCATAGGCTACAATAAAAAAAGGGGCTGCCTGTTTCAACACATCATATCACTTTGACCCTTTCTAGAAATTTGATGGTTGAAATATTTTCTTTTCAATCCAACGAATTTTTCCCCGTGTTTTCGTCGTCGATAATTGCAATTTCGATAGTTCTGCATATATTATTCGTTAGTTTTGCACCCGGTTCCGACGGGCCTGATTATTCTACTACTTTGTAATAAATTGTGTAAAATGCCTCAATTAAACATCAAAACATTTTTTCTCTTTCTGTTTCTCTTTTATTGTTAAGCTGGATCAGGAAGCGACACTGTTCTCCCGAATGTGAAACAAATCCCCTTGTAACCTTGGAGCATGCGCACCAAATACAACGCATTGGTTAACAAAAGGGAGTATTTTAGGAATTTTAACATGTAAATTAGGGGTGATTGCCACTGTAGCCACGGCGACCTTCATTTAGACAATAGACTATTACCCCCATTTTAAAGAAAAAAGGTTTCACCCTCAGCTGCAGCCTTTGAACCTCTAATGTACTGCATATGAAGGACTTTTTTAAAGTGCCATTTGTATGGAAAGTGAAACAATACGAGAGTGAATTTAGGAGAGAAGGATGGAAAGCCATGCTTTAATATTTAGTTCTGCCTAGGGTCTTCGCGATGGCTGCAGGGTTGGGCTAAAAAACCCACTCTTTTGTTAAAACAATCTTAGAAACCTGCAAGAAAGAGCTTATTCAAGAAGGGATATCCTAAAGGCAGTCAGTCCAGGGACACCGGAACGACCAAGGGGCAAGGGGAGGCAAGCTTGAGTAAAAAGGTCTTTGAAAGATAACTCCCAGCTTCTACTAATTTCTTCTACTAACTGTTATTTTATTTCGATCTTCTGAAGGTATTTGAAAAATTGGCTAACTTTGGCATCAGGATTTATTTTACAAGTTTTAAGAAATGTCGTCACGAATCAAGCACTGCAATCAGAATTTCGGTTGTATCTCTCTGATTATTATGATTGGCCGGTTTCGAGGGTACTTGAATCAATAGGGCACCCTGGCCCCTTTTTGCCCCTCTTATCAAAAGGCAACAGGGGCGGTTGATCCCCCGCGCCCCCTTCTCCGGCATCCCTGAGTCGGTCCCCATTATCCATGCCTATTACTTTGAGCTCGCCTTTGGGACAATAGGAAATCTTTGGTCGTTGACCATGACCTTAGCACACAAAGAAATGAATAAAAACTAAAACAAATTATCTGATTTGAAATTTAGATGACCCCACGGTGTGTCAAGAATACTGCAGGAAAAACATCAAAATAGGCAAAAGCTTTCAAAATTCCACGGTCCCCATAGCGTGCAAAGACAGACAGTTCTTGAACATCTCTAAGATTGAGAGAAACCATTAAATCGTTTAACTCAGAGTCTGCGCGAAAATGAAATTTCGGCTTATCTGTTCTCCATGAACTTGCCTCATCGGATTGGCCTCCTGATCTGAGAGGCTTATGATGATATCAATAAGTGGATGGCTTGTAATGCTATTTACCACCCAATTTAAGACGAGGACTACAACATTTTGGCGTCAATCTCATTGCGAGGAATTGTCTTCTCTGATCATTTGAAAACAAAGGACAACACAAATATTCCTGGTTGATAGCATTCTGGAACAGAGGGCTTCATGTCTCCATTTTTGCAACGAATTACCCACTTGGAAGGAAAAGGTTAAGACTACAATCAACTCTAAGCCGTCGACACGTAGGAACATTGAACACACTTTTTGCTGTGATGATTTATAGCAACTTCAGACCTGTACCCCATAGCTCCCATGTAAACACATCTTAAATCAAAACATTCAGAAACTAAATTCAAAGGCTATATGAGCAGAAAAGGGATAACTTGATTCAACAAGCGAACATTTAATCAATCTTTCGTTTACTTTTCAATGAATTTCCTTTAGATGGTATTTGAAATCTTCTTAAGATATTCCTCTGAATATGGTAAATATGCAAGCTTGATACATATAAATCTTCTTAAGATTAAAAATTGCATAATCCTTTGCAAAATGCTGACCTTTCTGTTTGTTTTATGACTTAGAGAGAGAATCTATCTATTGAAAAAGAAGCAAGTAACCAAAATTTGAATTGGGTTGAATAAGCTGAATGTTATGTGGGCTTTTTTTGGTCCGCCATGTTTGAAATAATCCCAATCTGTCAAACCACTTTGGCCATATTCATATGGCGGGTACACCCTGAATGCCAGTCTAGATCACCTTCAGACTTAAATATTTACTTCCGCAAACTAAGGTCATACTGTATACTTGTGCCTGACACATCTTGATGCACCAGAGCAGAGAGTAATACTTCGTCAATGAAACTACATAGTCTAAAGCAGACACTCGCCGTTGTTTTTATATACCTGTGATTTCATGGCCAATTACATTAGGTTTCTGAACTCAATGAATGCCGCAGGGTCCACTAAGAATTAAAGTGGTTTTGGTAGTTTAAAACGCCGGCCCACGGCAATCTGAAACAAATGGACTCCTCCATAACACCACCTCTTCTGACCTCTGCAGAAGTGTCGATTTCCAGTCATTGAAAGGATCACCCGCAATAGACAAAATCAGTAGCAAATATGAGCAATGTGGAATTAGCATAAAGTTTTGGTTAGCCAACTGCTGATAACAAAGAGCAAAAATAGTACTTTCTAGTTCTGGTCATCATTATCTACATCAGGTCGCTGATAAAACATATGAGGAATAAAAACAAATATCAAAAGCAGGAAAAACTTGGATATTGTCACTTACAAATGGGTCGTTCAGTCAGATTAGTACAAAAATATGAAAAAGCTTTCTCGGCGTATTTTATTTTCTTCACGAAAAAAACTTTAACATGGAATGCAAACTTGAGAGATCTAGCTTTACTTCATTCATACCTCAACTTTCCTGCCTGATGCTTGCCTTAATAACTCGTACGGAATAATCGTTTTCTGGGAACGAAAGAACCTCATCCTGGAATCAGGAATAGTAACATACACTTGCTCCCTCAGGCAATGGAAAACTCCAACGATGGATTGTGTGGAAATTTCTGTCTATTGGCGTGGCTGGAGAAAGAGGCAACTCGAGTCTCAATATCAACAGCAATACGTCTCGTTGCACCAAACGCACGAATATAACAACTGCCGTTAGTATGAGTTGTTCTGATTTATAAGTGTCCACGCACTACTGGTGATCAATAGCGGTTTTCTGCAGTGCAAGGGTCATGGCGAGATAAATCTTAAACAACTTGATTCATGTTCAGCGAGCTAAGCGGCTTACTCTTTTTGTATAAATAAACACGTCATTTGCAGTATTTGCGCTCTAGATGGAAATGACCGGCGCTAAAAGCAAAATGATTACCCATTAGGCGCCCGACTTTTAAACCCTCGGAAATCAAGCAGTGACGGTATGAAAAAGCGAGGTAAGTGGATGCAGAGAAACAGACGAACACATACAAGCAAGTCGAAAGATTCGACGCTGGTCTTCGTCGCCCAATTTTCACAGCTCCAATTCATATCAAGCTCGTTTTCCTCTGGCTGAAATTCCTTATTTTCCTCCTTTTCCATCTTTCTAATATAGGAGCTGCCCCAACAACACATTTCATACAACACTAAAGATGCAGACAACTGTTATACGCAGGGGTGCCATCCTAAAAGATTATGGTGAGGGGCTGTACCGAAGGCAACTTCTAGGCACCACACCCATATCTACTCTCTAATTGCTAGGGCGTAGTATTTTGTTATCTATCATTTTTCTTCTTTTCGCCATGCTGGACAGCATATGTTAGGTTATTTTCTGCGAATTAGACCTCCATATTCTTCAGCTCATCATTGCCTCCAATTGCCCAGTTTCCGTTACCAATAAGAAATGGTCCATTCAAGGAAAATCTACCATCTTTTTTTATTAAAAGCTGTAAACTGAAGTCCAGGCTGGATGTTCTTTATTTTTCAAAACATTTGAGGCTGGATTGTTCTTTATTTGTTTTTAAATATAAGCAGTGCAGTCACTATCATAAGCTATTGTGCTCAAGGAGAATGCTTAGGCCCCATTTACTAACAAAATGACTGAGTCATTTGAAATTTCAAGGATAAAGCACCCCTAGATGGCAAAATCTTCTCGTTACTGTGATAAGATTTTTCAAGAGATCTCACGATATTGTTCAAAAATTACATTTTACAGTAGCTCACTTGTTCTTAATTTGTTCTTAACTTTTCATCAACTTCGGGTCGCGTATTCTTATGGGCTGGGTCACAGACCATAACAAAGGAGGAGACCGTAACGTCAATAACTAGGGCTATTTACAAAACCGTTCTTATAAAAAAGAGTGAATAGCATAGTAAAGGGTAAGCTAACATTGCCATGTGAATAATTATTCAAACCTAAAATACGCTCGCTTATGACGTGGGGGCTGAGCTCCACAAATCTCCCTGAATCTTAGAAAGGGGGCTAAGCGCAATTAGCTTTCCTCCATGGCAGATTCGGAACTTTTCATTTTTGAATATTTTCATAATCGCAAACAATCAAAAAAAAGAAGCCTGTTCCATTCATTTGGTGTTAAAAAATGACACAAATTTTGACACAAGGTAGCTATCAAAGTAGCAATAGTGCTTCATTGCGTAATTGCGAGTGTTTCATTTTCCTTCTTGATTGAGTTTCCACTTCACCTTGTTTCTAGCTACAGTTTGGAATCTAACGAGACTTGTACAGAATTCTAATGCACTATATACAATTTATATGTTCAGTTGAATTTAGGAACTATTAAGGATACAATTCGATTAAAAAGAGGTCCAAAAATAAGGAACTTTAAGAGCAAGGCCACGAACTGGGTTTCTTATAAATAAAAAGCATGTAAATCAGCAATCTCAGAGTTTAAGGGGGTTAGGACCCAAAAATTTTTCCTAGAAACATTTGAGTAAGCACGATAAAAGTACTAAAAACAGTTTTAGCCTGAAAAAGTCCTTCATTTATAATCACAGCGACAAATTAAGGAAAACTGCCCCGTGTAGAGGTCAGGGGATCGTGACGAAATACACTAGGAGAATAAGTCCTTAAGAAATAAAGAGAGGCTGACAGCTATATATTGCAATGTTTTTTGTCACTTTGCAGATAAAAAAACCGGCTGGTACTGACGAAGCATCACCATATGAGAAAACCGCGTTTAAAGCTTGAATTATTGGGATCATATTGCTCATCACGTAAAATGCTAAATGGCGGCCATGTTTTCATAGCAGTATAAGCATTTCATTTCATAAAATACCTTCAGCAAATCATAAAATACCTTTGCCTTATTTGCTGAAATAATAAAAAATTCATCTTATCAGGAATGACTGAAAACCTTCTTTATTCCTAAACAGTCGACGTGAACAAAAAATACCTAAAACTGAGCAGTTATATTTTCAAAATTAAAAACCAAAACGAAGTCGAAGTTTCTTTATAGGTTTTTTAAATAGAAAGAGCTAATGAGCTACTTTTTACAACAACAAAAATAACACACAAAAATGAAACATAACATAAAAAACAGAACACCTGGTCAGTATGACAATATCAGGTCAGAGTTTTAGAGATCGAGCTACATCTTCTAAAAGTTTGCCATAATTTCTTAAAAGGCTGAATTATATATTGTCCCTTAACATTCCTTTCAAGCACCATGGTCATAAAAATGCGAAAAATTGCTGATAAAAAATTCATATACAATAAAACACAGAAAAAAATTATCTGAGCATTCCCCCGATAAAATGGACCATACACTCTTTTTATAAGATCCAGTAAATTGAGGTTCAGACTGAAAACTTTGGCCCACAATTTAGTGGCTAGATTGTTACTCTAATCCGGTCGAAAATTATTAGGATTTTAGTTAAAAAATTCAGTAACAAGACAATACCCTTCTGTGGATCAACACTTGATGTGTATAACTAATACAAGGGTTGGCATTTATAGATTATAATAACATTAGTAAAACATATACCTTGTTACAAAGACAAATCCTCAATAACAATGATATCACAATGTTCTTAATTTGTTCTTTATTTTTATTGATTTTGAGGATTGTGTTCTTATAAATTTGTTCTTAAAAGAAAAAGAGTGAGTGCCCATGGATTGACCAACTTATAATTCAAGCCACGCCAGGACATTGAGTCCATGAAATCAATCTTAAGCCGTATTTACGTTCTGACAGGGTGACAAGCTCTTTGGGATAAAGAACTGCGACTATTTCAAAGTGGTAGGTGATAAAAAACATACCCATTAACGTCATATAAAATTTGCCGGGCGATTAAAACGAATATTTTTTTGGAGACAGGCAGACAATGTGCCAAACTGACCTAGCAATTTCGAAATTTAGAAGATGTGAAAACAACAACCCTTGCAACGTTCCTTTTAAAAATAAACATCCGCTGCGAAGGAGCATGGCTCAATTATGCCAGCCGCCGAAAAAGGAATTGAAAAATGCAATGCATTCGGACTTGCGAGATTGCTGTACAGTCCACTTTGTGCGACGAGGGCGTTGTCCGTTGCGGCGAATCTTGGGAATTTACAATTACTTATTCAATTAAAGTAAGCTGCACAATAATCCAATCTATCCTATAACAACATGCGAAAACTAGCAACAAAATGCTCGCATTCAGAAATGAGCATCAAAGCTTGAAATGTTTAGAGGTGCTTCGTTGGTGAATTTTCAATGTCGGCAAATAAAGAGTGGCTCCTTTTTTGTTAGCAAATAGGGCCTGAACACTCCCCTTGAGCACAAAAGCTAGCGATTGCACTTCGTACACCCTAATAATTTAAGAACAAGTTAAGAACAATCAGGCCCTAAAGTTTTGTAAAAATTGAGAACAGCCAGTCTCAATTTCCACCTAGTTTTTAGAAAACGAATGTTTAGGATAGCACAGTTTTCTCAAAACACTAAAAGCAGTAACTGAAAAAAATCTAAAAGTGTTATAGACGCATAACGAAAGTTTTTACCTACGTACACCACTTTGGCAAAAAAGGTGTCTCTCCCGGCCCCCTGTCTTCAGGGCCCCTTTATACCTTGGTAATGTCCTGCAGAAACACTGAACATAAAAAACCGCAATGAATTTATTTGATATCAACAAATTACCCTACATCGTGAGGAAACTTCTTCTCATTCACCTTGTACAAATGCATTATGAAATTTCGTGATATATTGGTGTAGTTGAATAAGCGATATTTTCCGGAGATCAGATAACTTTTGCAACGAAGGATCAAGGCAATAGAGTCAATGAATAAAATCAAATCACTGCGGTGTGAAAACATAATTGAAGCTAAATTGAATGTCACGGAATCTCTGATTAGGCCATACGAAGGATGAGGATTGAAAAGATTTAAGAGCGTGTGAATTTTTTGATATCTACCAATCCAACGTTACTCTGCTCAAACTGAATTCGTTCCCATGAAGGATCAAACAGGCACAACAATAGTTATCAGTGTAAGTAAGTCATAGAAACTTCTTCAGGTGTCTTAGGCCCATTTCTATGTACAAAGAATGACTTCATTATTGCAATCTATTTTTAGACATGGCATTAAAGGTAGGTCACAGCCACAGACACGTAAACATTCGCAACAATACACAATTGTATGCCGACTTCAATCTAAAAATGATCGACTATTTTTGCAACTGTATCAGACTAATGCCTTTGATACAATTTACGCAATTTCTGAAAACCTCATATTTGCGGAAATTGGAATTCAGATAACAGTCAAACAGTGACAGACCTGGGTAACAATGAAAAAAAAGAGGACGTTAACCTCTCTGAAAACAACGAAAAGCACTTTAATTGTGTACACTCTTTTGAGTAAGAACCAGTAAATTTAAGTTCAAGCTGACTGTTCTTAATTTTTCCGAAAATCTGAGGCTAGATTGTTCTTAATTTGTTCTTGAAATTAATAGGCTGTAAGCAGTGCAATTGCTAGCTTTTTTGCTCTAGGGAGGTGTTCTGGCCTCATTTGCCAGAAAAGTGAATGAGACAACCTTCATTTGCCGATGAGTTTGATTATTCACCAAAGATGCACCCGCACATGGCTAAAAATCCTCGTTTTGTGATAAACGTTGTTAAAAATTGCATATTTCAGTAGCTCAGCCGCAGCATGTTCTATTGTTACTAACTTTTGACCAATTTTGAGGCTCGTGTTCTTATAGAATTGTTCTTATAAAGAAAGAGGTTGTACTCGTCATTTGGTTCAGGTTGCCGATTGCACTAACCGTTTCCAAGAACCCTCATATTTTTTACATAGAATTTAGCATTTTGTCACCCCTGCTTATAAACCGATATAAATTAATTATCTCAAATAATGTTATATTAAAATAAAACTATGCACCATGTTGGTTTTCAAGTTCGAAACATACCTAGACCTTAATCGTTCGTTTTGTAGTTTAGTCTAACAATCGTTGTTTTCTTTAAATCAACGTTTTAACGTTTGATGTTTGTTGTTATTTCGTCGTTAAGATTATAAAATGTAACCTATTGCAGTTCAAATTGTAATTAGGTTAGAAGACTTCTTGGTCCAGATACCTTTTCATTAAAATAATATCATATCTATGATGAATTGATCACACGACTGCATCTGTTTAACAACGATTCTTGATACTTTGGTAAAAAATGGAATAATGTAATCTAGAAATACTTGAAACAGGCCGCAGAATATCTTCATGGGAAAAGTGGGGCACCCCTTAGGCCTACTGGTCCCTCCCTACTATTGTGACTCCAGGCAAAGACCGAGATACAACTTTTGTTTGGGGGGAGGGCAGCCCTGACAAATCAGTGTAACAACAGCCATATTTTACAAATTAAAAGTATTTTACTTATGCAAGGTATGTTTTTGAGAGGGTAAGACCCCCCGCCCGCCCCCTCAGTGGACAGCAGCTCGCCGCAGTCTTCCGCAAGCATACGCCACCCTGACACATCATCAATGCAAGCATCTATACCGCTCTTCCTTTGACCTCGAAATAAAATTGACCCACAACAACGTTACCGGGAGTCACAAAAGCATTGGTATGATGGCGCCAACACAAAGAATTCGAAATAAACAGAAGCACAAAAGACTGAGAGCTGAGTGTACATCATCTCGTCATACAGCTATAGTAATCCCCAAACTTATCCATATAAACAGGAAATATGGCTTAAACCATAGTCGTGGTTTTCTTACTTCAGAACTGTAGATTGAGAAAAGGATAAAAATTGGATTTCGGTCGGTGAATTTTGACATGACGTAAGCTCTCCCATTCGGTCCAAGGAGGAATGCTGATCACCTTTTATCTGCTTCATTTCAAACGATTTACTTATATTGCAAAATCAATATTTTCCATAATTTAAAGCAAAATGCTACATAACTTTAAACGCTTCTTTTTAAAAGCTTCTTTTGGTCAACAATACTATTAAGATCATTTATAGGATCGATAATATCTTAAGAAAAATGACCCCCGATGTAAACTTGATATCTTAACCTCTAAAAAGTCTAGAAGACAAAAAATTTGTTAATGTCGTAATCTATTAATATCTTCTGAAACTAGAAAAATGACAAGTAATTTGTGTGGTAACTCCAAAAGAGAGCTTGTGTTATTCATAAAAAATGTAGGTCTAGAGTTGGTTGCTAGTTATAACATCTTATTCTTTAAATGTTATGTTATGTTTTATGTTATGTTTTATGTTATGTTTTATGTTATGTTTTATGTTATGTTTTATGTTATGTTATATGTTATGTTTTATGTTTTATGTTTTATGTTTTATGTTTTATGTTTTATGTTTTATGTTTTATGTTTGTATGTTTTATGTTATGTTATGTTATGTTATGTTATGTTATGTTATGTTATGTTATGTTATGTTATGTTATGTTATGTTATGTTATGTTATGTTATGTTATGTTATGTTATGTTATGTTATGTAATATGAAGGAAATCTTCGAATATCTAAATAATTTTGAGGAACCACTGATATCCTTCAAGCCAGTTAACAATGAATGAGACTTATCAGTTTAGTTTTTATTAGCCAATTTGAAAATGATCCAATGAAGAATTTACTGCAGTCGCTGTGGTTGGTAACAAAGACAATACATTAATAAAATGAGGACAAAAAAGACATGCAAATCTTATTTCTGCCAAACCAAGTCAAATCATTATCTTGGAACTCTGCCATCTTTTAAACCAGATTCGTACTTGATTGAGGCCTAATCACTACTTCAAATTTAACCGCAGTGAACAATTTGTCGCTTTTTAGTTTTCCTAAAGGCCTCGTAGTTCAATCCATACTATCTTACAGATGAAACTCTGAATTGTAAAAAACGTGACGTATTCTTGCCTGAGAAGGCTAGAAATTTATACCATGTTTTTCGTTCAGGCAAATATAATTTCTGCTAACATCCTCATATTCACCCTTTCCTCGCATAAGTAGAAAAAATCAGAAAGGCTGGCAAAAAGAGTTGATTTTTTTGTTCTTTCTGGCCAGCAAATTTCAGTTTCTACATACTATGGCGAAAGAAAAGTCCAACGTATACACTCTTTTAACATGCTATAAGCTTTTCAAATTGCCTTGACGGTCGGAGACCAAAAACTGTTTTGATGTTTGACTATGGGAATAAAGCTGGTATCATGAAAAGTATACATTATCAGGGCTATAGGGTTAGAGGAATATATAAGCTACCATGAATACGCACTTTTTACAATATAAGAAAATAGTTTACAAGAATATTTAGGCTCAAAAATAATTAGGCTTAAATTCAAGAATGATAATATAGAATGATAACATCCATGCTTAAATTTTGTTTAAAAGGTGAACTTTATATTTTTCATTCCTTTTCAAATTACAAATTTAAAACAGATCGTATTTCCATAAATAATTGCTCGATTTTATTTTAATTTTGGGCAAAAATTTCAAACCTTTGGAAACGTGTATTCACCTACCATGTTGTTAAGAAATTATATTAAGAAGGCACAAGATGCAAGGCACAGGACTTCTGGAGTCTTAATCACTCTCGTCTAATGGAATTTCTAATATTTACTCTCCTGTCTCTGACCTCTGTACTAAATAAAGAATCGAATTTCTTGAGACGCCAAATTAGGTTGGCTGTGATTCACTTTTTGACATAAACTTTGAAAGTTGATCGTTACCATGACAGGTAAGGTTGATTTAGAATATCCGCTATTACAAAAAGATATAATAATTGGAGATTACCGGGGTTTTGCTTAAGGATGTACTACATATGTGGCTTTTTAATCGTTATGAGGTAAAAAGCTCTGAGAAAAACACTTGGTCGCACCTCCATTTTGAGAATTCAAAAATGTTTTGGTCATCAATGCATTTAAATACATTATACTGATTATAATCAAGGTTTCTGAAGGTCCCAGCTGAATGTTCTGTTTTTGGTAGAGGTAACCCCATGTGACTCACAAGCAGGCATGAGCACGAAAAGGTCAAGCTACTAAACAAAACAAAAATAAATTAAGAATTAAACTTAGGTTCATGGCTTCTCTACAACTAGATTTTGGATATAATAGCCTCGCATCTGAACACTAGCAGTCTGCAGTAAACTTTTGATAAGAAAATGCAATATGACGTCACGACCCGATTCTTCTAGGAACAAAATGTTTGCACTTACCTGTAAAGAATTTCCTTGGGTCTTTTCTTCATTGTTGCCTATAAGTGGTGCACGCAGTTCCTCCATAGGTTGTGTCCGTTTTCAGGAAATCTAAACGAAATACAACATTACAAACATTGTGTTTTCCTAAATCCTTGTTATTAAATGATGTGAGCATAGGATAGAACGCATTTTCAAAAACCCTGGAGAAATTTTTTTCAATATACCCACAATATATGCACAGCTCAAAGTGAACAAAGTGACAAAGCATTAAAAATGGGTCTTGTAAATAATTGGAGTTTTCCGTTTGAAGTTAATGGCAAAGGCCAGTGGGTTGACCAAATAAAATGAAAAGAGAACGGGAGTCTTATAGCCTGAGAGCAAAAAGAAGCTAGGTTTGTAAACATAGCTGAAAACTTTTCATCATAAATATTTTGCATTTTCTACGTTACTGAGTAAAGACGTTTCATAAAGCAAAGACATGGTTAAATGGTTTCATTACACGATATAATTCATTGCAATTTTGATTTTGCTCTCAACATGACACCACATACGTCGTCAACGTCCCTTACAGAAAACATGGATTACTTTTTGAAGGCTTCGAGTAAGAAGACAGATTAAAAGAAATTGACTTAAAATACCGATCTAAGCAAGCTAATTTTAAAAATACCATTCAGAAAGCTTTAAGGTAAAATGATGAAAGATAAAACTTAAATGACATTCCTTTCTTGGACACCAATAATAAATTCTATTTAATTTTGTAGGATTAGTAGAATGTGAATTTAAAAGACGGTTTTGTTTGCATCAGGAACTTAGGCATTAGAAAGACGCTGATGCGTTAGGAACACTTCGAATGTCCCTGAGAATAAATTTCAATTACCTTGATGACGACGTAAAACCAAAAGATGATTAGAAGAAATTACTTATTTATTGCCTATAACAGACACACCTTAAAGGGTATATTAAATCAGCAGATATAATAAATCTCAAATTTGATCCTTATTACGTTTTATTAGAATCTGAAAGAGCTGAAAATCTTCACGATAACACAGGAATAGGCCCGTCTGCATTATCGTGAAGTTGTTCTCTAAAATTGGTTCAGTTTTAGACACGAGCCATGTTACCATGTTACAGTTTATGTTCATTAAGCACATTACTTTTGAGGAAAATAACAACACCAAAACTTTCTCACATAAACAGAGTTTCTCAATGACAAAATTCTTTGATGTCACACCCACTCTTAGCAACTGGCCTGCCTTTCCTTGTGTGGAAGATTAATTTACTTTAGAATAAAATCAACGGCTACTGATAAAAATACCTTTTGAAGTTCATTGAGAACTGCTTTGCACCTACATTTTCTGTCCTCTAGGTTATCAAAAAAAATTAGCCAACTTTCACAAGCTGAAATTGTGGTGTCTCTCGCGGATCATGCCTAGGTCCATTACTGTGTTTTTCTGTATAAATACTTACAACGAATGCATCTAAAGAATAAATTTCTTAATGTATACAGATGATATCATTATTACCCTTTTATGCGATAACTCTATTGAAAATGATGAATGATTAAGTAATTAAGCAACCTTTGTTTAATGTTGTCTAAAACGGATTTTGTCTTTTCAGAATATTGCGAATTATATTCTCTCCCCTGAAAACTCCCGTGACATGTGGTTTGAGACAGTTAGTTTTTTTTACCTTTATTTAATAACCTAGAGATAGTCTTAGCCTTTTGCTCCTCTCTTTATCGTTCCCCGTACTGTTGAAAAGTTTTTGCTAGTAGAGTTGCCTCTAGCATATATTGTATTTTTAGGGGAATGTACAGAAAAGAATATTCTCAAGATCGAGAACCACCCTAATAGCTAGCCATTTTTTATGATAGATAATGTAATGATTGACAGTATAAATGACATTGAAAATCTTGAGATCAATTATATTGTCTAAGTTGTGACAATAAAATACAGAAACCTAGGGCTAAAGCTACGTGAATTCTTGCTGATGGAAGCTTTAACTAATGATTTGTATAGAGGTTTTGTTAGGACACAATTAGGGTTTTGTTGCTTCATGTGAACTTGCTCCAGTGAATTTAAAACTAACATGTCTCAACATCTACTAATATTTTACGAATCAGCGACCGCTAGCCCCTAAATTAGTTGAAGAGTCAAAGTGAGAGAACAAACTCTACACAAATTCTGTTTCCTAAACAACTATTGCTGGTTTTCAAGAC